TTTTAGAAAAGTCATATCCAAAACCTATTGGTAATCTGTAAGAACTGAGCCATTCCCCCAATAGATAAGTGGTCAAGAGATATGGACAGAATTTTTTTTTGTTATTTTTATTTATTTTTAGTTTCAACATTCATTTCCACAAGATTTCGAGTTCCAAATTTACTCCCCATCTCACCCCTCCCCCACCCCAGACACCTTGCATTCTAAATATTCCTGTTCCTAATCTGTGCTCCCTTCTATCAGAACCCCCCTTCTCTAATCCCCTTCCCCTTCTATTTTCCTGTAGAGCAGGATAGATTTCTATACCCCATTTCCTGTTCATTTTATTTCCTAGTTGCATGTGAAAACAATTTTTTACATTTGTTTTTAAAACTTTGGGTTCCAAATTCTCTCCCTTCTTCCCTCCCCACCCACCCTCATTGAGAAGGCAAGCAACTCGATACAGGTTATACATGTGTAGTCATGCAAAACACTTCCATGGTAGTCATGTTGTGAAAAACAACTATATTTCCCTTCATCCTACCCCCCTCTCTCCCCCACCCTGGTTTATTCTATTCTCTCTTTTGACCCTGTTATGGACAGAATTTTCTTTTTTAAGGCAATTGGGGTTAAGTGACTCGCCCAAGGTCACACAGCTAATAAGTGTCAAGTGTTTGGTCTGAGGCCAGATTTGAACAGAGGTCCTCCTGACTTCAGGGCTGGTGCTCTATCCACTGCACCACCTAGCTGCCCCCCCCCCCGCCCCGTGACAGAATTTTTAAAAGAAGAAACTATTACCACCTATTTTTAAAAGTGCTTAAAAACAATAATATAAAACGAAGTCATCAAATTGGCAAAAGTGGAATAATTTAACGTTGGAGATGCAGGAAAAGTGATCCCACTATTGTTTGTACTCATAGAAAGTTACTGACAAGAAAAAAACCGTTATGTATGAAAACATAGCAACATTATTAGTAACAGCAAAATGTTGTAAACAGAAGTATGGGGCCTAACACTTGGGAAGTGGCTAAAAATAAAGCATATGAATTTGCAGAATATTACCGTGCCATAAGGAATGATTGGTAAGAAAGCAAATATGGAAAGACCAGTATGAAGTGATGGCAAAATGGTCACACACACACAAAAAACCAAACCAACCCATACACAGTTATTACAGCTATATAAATGAAGACAACTTTAAGTGGCAGCAAAACTCATTAAAAATTTCACAATAATTATATTAACATAGCACCTTCATGTCTTTTAACAAGGAAACCTACTTCAAGTAAGTTTGCACATCTCAACTATGATCGATTTTATGCTGTTTTACTTATCTTCTGAGGAGATAACATTGTGGAGGTTTCAGTGGTGAGGATACTGGGAGTTATTATATGAAGTATCTAATTTATAATTGATCATAACAGCAATAAAAATATTTATATTTAAATATTGCCTACTGGGTGCGGAGAATTCAAAGATGAAAACTAGCATAAAGCCTAGCTCAGAGGAGCTTACAGCCCACTAGGTGGATGAGACATACACAAGTAACTATAATACAAGTTAGAATGTTACAAGCACTTAGGAGAGGACAAGAGTTTGGGGAGAGAGATCACTTCCAGCTGAAGCATTGGTAAAGGTTTCATGGAGATTGTAACTCTTAGGACAGGGACAACTTCATTTTAGCCTTTGTATCTTCAGTGCTTTGCTCATAGTGGGTGCCTAATAAATGTTATTTAAGAACTGTTTATTAAGAAAATGTGATCTGAGTCGGATCTTGAAGGACAAGAATTTAAAGAGATAGACATGATATTCCAGGCCTGAGAAATGTCCTGAAAAAGTACACAGAGGCCAGAGGGACAAGATAAAGGAAGAGCTAGGGGTCTAACTGGTGAGAACACAGAGTTCTGTGCATGGGGAGGAGAGGAAGGAATGTAAAATAAGATTGGAAAAGGTAGGCTGGGGCTAGATTAGGAAATGGCTTGTATTTTGTCCCTTAGATAATGGTAACAACTGAAATTGATGCGATTACATCAAAGCTATATGATACCTACATATTATGAAGGTTGGAAAAAAACTTTTTTTTGGTTTTTGTTTCTGTTATTGTTGTTATTATTTTGGTAGGGTGAGGGGGAAAGATGATGAATCTTTCTCCATCTACAGGCTGTTTCTGCCCTGGACATATCTTTCTTCCTTGCCCTTCTGGAACTCCTGTATCTGTAATTTTCTATGCCTAGAATCCTCCAGATTCCCATCCTCCTGACAAATACACATACCTAAGACATTAGAGGTTAAGAAGCCAATTAAATCTGAGTGGGCTTCCGTCTTTGCCTATAAAGATACCTCTTTAGCTTTTTTAAGTGGCACCAAGGTACATGGAGTGGAAATGGACCCAGAAGGCCCAGTGTGAGTTTGGGACAATGATGTGCCAAGTCCTGGGAGCCAACTCCTTGCAAGGTCCTCATGGACCCCTTCCTATCATTGCCTGAAGGTTGACCTGACAGCTCCCTAGTAATATTCTTTGATGAATCCCTTCCCTGCCCAACCCAGTCCTAGTCTGAATGAATGTGTGAATGATGGTGACATTGTGCCGGGGACTGGCAGACTGCCATTGTTTAGATATGCTGGTTGCTATCCCAATTTGGGGGAGGGAGAGCACATAGTTCTTAGTGTTCTTCCCTTGTCGCCACAGCTTCCTCTTCTATGCTTCCTTGGTTATATCCAGTTAAACCACGTGGCCTTCCATTAAATGCATCAAATAAATGGGACTATTGTTTTCAGCATTGACTGTTATATCCAACTGTCCTATCAAAACAGACTTCAGCAATCGGTACCATGAATGAGGTTTCTTCCCATCAGATAAAGTGGTGGTCTTTTGCCAAGAGGGTTAATGGACTCTATCCCTCCTTTCTCCATCATTAAATATCTTCTGTCTCTTTTTTTCTTCCCTCTCCCCTCTTCCTCCATCTCTTTTTATGCCTTTTCCTTCTCCCCTCTCCCATTCCTCCTGCTTTAGTTGAAGGCTTATTGAGATGGGCTTTGCACATGGCCTCAGTGACAGGGGATTCCCTGTTCTTTGGTGGGTGGGGAAGGAAGCCCCAAAGAAGGCTTGGATTAGGACCCTGGAAGATGGAATTGAAACTTTGGAGGCCGACTTTGGTTTTCCACCTTCAGTCATTCCTCCCTCCAGGCTTCTCTGCAAAAGGCAATACAATAAAAGTACAGGTTGCCATAGTGTTGCTTTAGTCCAAAGATACCTTTAATAGGCAGACCATGGGACCCTGCTTAGAATGCAAAAATTTAGAAGGACAGATCCCTCCGTTTGTGCCCCAAATTTTGTTTTTCTTCTCTTGAGTATCTAGGGGAGAAACTCAGTCCCCCTTCCTGTACTTCATAGTCCTTTGTCTCCTCTCCAGTATTTCTCATATTAATAATAATTATCATAGCTAACATTTACAATAGCTTACTATGTACTAGGCATTATGCTAAGAGCTTTACAACAATTACCTAATTTGATCCACCTAGAAGTACTCTTTAACCCCGAGGCCTCACTTGTTCCTCCCAGAACCTCCAACTTAAGAAGCCATTTCAGACTGTTTGTGACCCCATTTTGAGGTTTCTCGGCAAAGATACTAGAGTGGTTTGCCATTTCCTTCTCCAGCTTGTTTTACAGATGAGGAAACTGAGGCTAACAGTTAAGTGACTTGCCCAGTGCCACAGCTAGTAAGTATCTGAGGCCAAACTTGAACTCAGTAAGATGATTCTTCCTGACTCCAGGCTTGGTGCTCTGTCCACTGCCCAACTTAAGGAAGCGGCCCAGCCAAAGATGTCTTCATTCCTCTCCAGGTGCACAGATAACGCATCTTCTTTACCTTGCTCCAAGTGGAGAACATCCCTACCTCACCACCTTTTCAATTCCCTTTTGTGTATCATCTTCTCCCAGTGGAAGGGAAACTCCTTGAGGGCAGGGACTGCTAGTATTTGCTAGTACTTATATTCCCAGCAATTAGCAAAGTGCCTGGTGTATAGTAAGTGCTTAATAGATACTTGTTGACTGACTAGATAGTAGCTGTGAGGTACTGATAAATAAAAAAAAAAAGTTTGTCGGCTGTCTGCTTGCTGATTCTTCCTGTCAAGAATGGAACTTTTACTAAATCTATCAGCAGATGCTGTGAGAAAGTTGGAAGAGCGGGTGGAAGACAATGAATTCAGATCCGAATGTTGTAAGTCTGAGGTACCAATGGGGCAAAAAGGTGGAGATATCTAGTAGGCAACTGGAAATGTAGCATTAGGGCTTAGGTGAAAGGTTGGGGCTGGGGATAAAGATTTATTAGTCATTTTCAAAGAAGTGATCATTAAATCATGAGAATGGATGAAATCACCAATGGCAAGTTCAGAGAGGAAAAGGGGATTCTTTGATTTCAAGGAGCCAAGAAACTAGTTGGAAAGACAGGACTAATGTGATACGAGGAATGACGTGTTAAACTGAGAGGCAATGACTATACATGCAAAAGGTGTTTAGATAAAGGAGAAATTATGCATTGGAGCAGTTGGGAAAATTGTCATGGTAGAGAAAGATGGTTAAAATTTGTTAGCAAGGAGGGAAAAGCACTCCAGGAGGTAAGACTAAGCCCAGCACATGGTGGGCAAGAGTGTGGGTAGGGAGGAAGTATGAGGAGACCAGTCTGAGGATTGAGAGGTGCATGTGGAGAAGAGTGTGAAACAGTTTGGAAAGGTAGGATGGGCCTAATTATGGTGGGCCTCCAAAGCTAGGTAGAGGAGTTTGAACTCGAAGCCTTCGTAGGCTCATTAGTAAAGGAGTGACATGAGGAAAGCGTCAGATTCAGTGTTAGATTTATCTGGCAAGGGTACGCAAAATGGATTGATAAGTCTATTTCTCCCTTCCTCAGTGTCAGTGACTCATAATTCTTATAGCTCATTCATAGAAACTCCAGTTTTGTTTTTAGCATACCAACTCACAGAGTAATTTTTCTTAGGGAGGAAAGGGGAAAAGGAAACCTCACCTCAAAAATGACAAGCTTTCCTTTGAAGATGGCCATAAAGTGGCGTGGTTCTTTCCCCATGCTGACCAACACCTGCACCGGCGCGCCCCCAAACTGTCTGTCTAGCTCCACGGCTTGGTAAGCTGAAGCTGCCAGCTCATCCCTGGAAGCGTGCCGACCCTACCATAGAGAGAAGAGAGGACAGATACGTTGTGGGAGCAAAAGACAGCAAATGAAACATTTGGATTCCAGACGGAAGGTTATCTTGTAGACTTACCTGCCAGATGTACAGGATGCAACGTGGCTTGTTGTTCACTTGATATGTATAGAGAACCAGGTAGCAGTCTCCCCCATAGAAGAAGCCATACCACTGACGCTCAACTGGGACTAGTTCCAGATTTTCTATTCTCCAGACCTAGACAAAGGAGTGAGATGCATAAGTCACATAGGGATTGTGTTGTTAGATTGGAGCCAGCTGTATAAATTAGGACAGCTGAAGGAAATTAGGCCACAGTAAAAAGAGATCCAGGCAGAGGGCCAGTTGAGAACATAATGATCATTCAAAAGACACATAGCATCCTTAGTACCATTCCTCTCTTAGGTGCGGCGCTATCAGGTGCATCAGATAATGGCTTTAGAGCTCTTTACATCAATTATTTGGATTATTTTGCAAGGGAGGATGCTAACGACACATTTGGCAGCCTACCTCGAATCACCTAGAGAAACTATGGGGGGGGAAATCACCACCTTGCAGATTTTGCTGTTTCTTGAGGGGTATGCCTAAGATCCCAGAGTTGAAAGTGGGGGGTTGGGGTGGGGGAGTACAGGGGGACGAGAAGCAGAACCTACATTCCATTTTAAGTGTACGGTGAGTACGCTTGCTACCTTCCTTCAGTTCTGAGTTGCTTGTCTTACCTCAACGTTTCCATTCCCATCATCAACCATTCTTTCTCGGGCTGCCACATCTGGCTTTGTGTGAAGCAGAGTCACATCAAACTTATCCTGAATGACTTTGGCTGTAGAGAAGATTTCAGGAGAAGTCAAATAAGGGAGACACACAGTTAGGAACAAACATGGAACAATAGAAACAGTAGTGCCCTTTGGAAATTCCTGTCACTGCTAAAGATTTAGGGAGGTAATCTCACCAATTTTACTCATGCTGAAGGTTTTTCCTAAGCCTAAGGTCTGGTCCTTTACTGTCCACTTCTGGAACAGCTGCTTGAACATGGCAGACTCGGCTCCATCACTGACGGTCTCCACGTTGGTGCTGCTTGGATAACCCTTCATCTTAATGAAGCCCTATAGCCCCAAGAGAAATGGATTAGTCATTACTGGATTTGTTTGCCTGCTTGGTGACTCACCCCTTTGGTTCCAGGTGCTAAGACAGCTCTCCTCCTGAAGTCAAACTCATGCTGAGTCACTTTTTTAAAAAATAAAATTTTATTGATACCTTTTATTTTAACATATGCCAAATTTCCTCCTGTATGTGCCCTCTGCCCTCCTAAATCCAACCCTTTTAAAATAATTTTGCTGACTCACTTCTAACTGGAGACTGAATTGCCTACCCTCAGGATGCATTCATTGAAAACATTTTGGCATCTTTCTGTTAGGCTGTCATAATATTTTTTTGTGCTTATGGTGAGCAAACTTCTTTACCCCATGTCTCAGCATTTCTGTAATTTGCTGACTTTGTACTCTATCAATTTGATCATTTATTACTTTGTGTTTCTCAAAAGTTGCATCTACTTGTGTCCTCTCTCCTCAAATGAAGCATAATCTCCTTGGGCTCTAGGACCATATCCTTGCTGATTTTTTACATCTCTCTCCCTTTGTCCTGACATTCATCCTATAGTGTGTAAGACGGTTCTCTGCACACAGTTGGTAGTATAATTTACTCACTAAGTCAATATCATTCCTCTGTTAGAATGTAAACTTTTTGAGGGCAGGACATGTTTTGATTTAGGTTTTGTATCCCCAACACCTAACATTGTACCTGGTACCTAGATCATATTATCATAGATTTAATGCAAGAAGGAACCTGAGAGGTCACCTAGGCAAAGCCTATCATTTTTACTGATGAAGAAGCAGGCCCAGATAGCTTGACTTGCCCAAGATTACAGGTTAAGTGTCTGAGGAACCCAAGTACATCTGACTGCAAATCTAGCTTTCTCTCCAATGCACAAAATCATCCAGCCAGCTTTGTGTATGAATTGCACCCACCAGAGCTTTGGACATAGCAGTCTGCTTCTCAATCTTGGTGGCTCCCCTTCCTTTCCAGACATAAATCTTGCTTCTGCCATGGTCCAAGATGTAGCAATCCTGAAACATTCCAATGGATGAATGATATATTACCACTCGTGGAGACAGTACAGGAGCCTTACTCTTAGGTTATTCCAGTCTGAGTCTGTGTTATACTTACATCATGATTCAGTAAATCTTGGACCAAGGGCCTTGTAGATACTTCTGTAACTGTCAGCTGCCCACTTGAATCAGAGACACTAGAGAAGGGGGAAACGTGGGTTGATTTGGGTTCTCTTTCCTCAGCAGAATCTCACTGCCTAAATGTTGCTTTTCTGTCTTTCCTTTGGTGGACAGTTTCTTTGTAGGATTTGTATTATTGCTCCCAGTGCTGTGGGAGTGCATGTTTCATGGCAATCCTTTTTTTTTAATGTTCCCTTTATTCTGAGGATTCTACATCTTTCTCTCCCAAATCTTGACCCTTCCAGAGCCTCAGGGACATTGAGTGTCTCTAGCTCATGGTGCTGTAGTAGTAATAGCATCTCTACTATCACCTTTACAACTCAAAGAATGAGCATGAAGCAGCATGCCAGAACATTAACACAAACATAAGAGGTAAGATGTTTGAGTGGAGGAACTTTGGTACTTATGTTTATTATAGATACTTGAATTGAAGAGGGATCAGAAGAAAGCTATAAATCTCAGAACCCAATACAGAGATAATCCAAAGTATCTAGATTTATGAGAGGATTCCTTAGTTTCCAATCAGGAGTAGGAAATGGCCACTTACTGATACAATGTGATATTTGATTTCTGCTCTTGATCTAAGAGCTCATCAGAGGTTGCAGGCTTGATCATGGAGCGTTCTCCTAGTGTGTCCTGAAGGACTTTCATCAGGTTTGAACTGGCTGCCTCATTGTCTCCCTCAATTACACCAATTTCAGCACGGCCCCCACGCTCTCGATCCCGAATATCCTTTGCTAGGAGCATTGCCTACCATAAGGGAGTCCAATGAAAAAATTCAGTATGCCTGCCTTACCACAGGAGCTTGAGTATTGTTGAAGAAGCAAGCCTCGGATCCAGGAGACAGGAATTTTTAGTATCTTAAAAGGTCTTGAGAATGAGTCATTAATTCCTTGGACTGGAAGTAATGCCCTTCCATTAACTCATCTTCCCAGAAAAATCCTCCCTCCAAACTAACCTCTCTCTGTTGTGGGGGTACCATCATCTCCCTAGTGATTTGAATTCAAAAGCTTAGTGATTTGTGACTTTCCCCTCTGCATACCCAGTCAGTTACTAGTTTTTTTTTTCAATTCTGCCTCCATAAAATCTGCCCTCTTCTCTCCTTTCACACATTTGCCACCCTAATTCAGGCCCTCATTATCTCTTTTCTGGGCCACTTCCTAATTAGGTTCTCTGCTTCCAGTATCCTCTCTCTAATCCATCCTCCCTCCATACAGCTGTTACATTAATCTTCCTAAGGTCCAGGTCTGACCATGTCATTTCCCTGCTCAAAGCCCCTAGGATAAAATACAGACTCCATAATCTGCTTCCACTCTACCTTTTCAGCTGCATTTCACATTACTCTCCTTTGTGAACTTTCAGCCAAATAAGACTATTCACCGGACCTGATATTCCACCTCTCACCTCTAATCTTTTTACAAAAAAACATACCTCGTGCCTAGAATGAACTCCCTCCTCATCTCTGCCTCTTAGAATCTTTATCTTCCTTCAAGGGCCACTCATATACCATCTACTCAATGGAAACCTCTCCCATTCCTTCCAGTTAACAGTGCTGGCTAGCTCGGTTTTTCTTGTCTACATCTTACAACATGTACCCCCTCCAGTTAAGCTCCCTTCACTCAGGACTCTTGTTTTTGCCTGTGTAAGTCCAGTGCCTAGCATAGTGCCTTTCACATGGTAGGTTTAATAAATATCTGTTGTGGAATTTACTGTCTGCAGGCCAGACCCTACCAAAAAAAGAAGTAGGGGTCCCATTTAAATCTCAGAGAAGACTGGCATGTAGAAATAATAAGCAACAGTAATAATCATAACGATACTAATTACAGAGAAAGCCAGAAACCATGTCTGAAAGATCCTAAGCCACACCCTGGGGGCTCCAAGGAAAAGAGAGACCTCCGGTGAACAGTAGCAACAGTACCTTCAGCCGTTCTCTAGTGTTGCTTTCTGGGCCATTCCACTGGATGATGACTCTTCCAAGGTCCAGCAGGAAGACATCACCCAGGTTAAAATTGTCCCAGCTCAGGTCTACCTACAGGATAGAGATAGAGACTGCTCAGGGTAGCCCTGTTAAAACACTATGAACAGATCTCAACCTTCCTTAGAATAAGCAGAAGGGATGGGAGCCAGTCAGCTTAGTTGTATCCCTTTTTGTGTCCTGGATCCCTTTGGCAGTCTAGTGAAGCTTATGGATCCCCTTCTCAAAATTGTGTTTTTAAATCAATAAAACAAGATGCAAAGATGACAAAGGAAACCAGTTATATTGAAACACGGTTATCAAAAAAAATTTTTTTTTTTAAAAACAAGTTCACAGACTTCAGGTTAAGAACTCCTGGCTAGGTAATGCTAATCGAGCCCCTCAGGGAGTTCACTTTCTGGAAAACTTACTTCAGTAGCAGTTATATGCCTTTTCCCTTTCACATGCAGTAGACGCTTCACATCATAGGTGTTGGTCTCCACATGCTTCATCCCAGAGGCCACACCTCCCTTCTTGTAGCTGAGGGATAGACAAAAGAATAGTTATCTTTCCTATGGTGTTTTTGTTTTGTTTTGTTTTTGCAATCGGGATTAATCAACTTGCCCAGGGTCACACAGCTAGTATCTGAGGCCTTTTCCTCTGGTTGTCATGTCAGGCCTTCAAATCTCCCCTGGCATCACTGCCCTACTAGGAAAAGAGTGAATTTCCCACCCACTCATGGCCCACCTCCTCCAGAAAGCTTTCTTTGATTAACTTCCACATTTTATCCAGTCCATCAGCACTGAAAACCAAGCTGCCTTTTCTTCAGTTATCATTGCTGTAATGGATACCCTAGAAGCTTTATCATTTGGGGAAAGGAAGGAACTGTTATGAGTTCTACTAAAAATGCCATTGTGACTCTTTACTTACTCTCTCTTTCCTTTTCCAAGCACTGTATTGTCTCCATCATAGTGTTGTGCTTTGTTCATATTAAATGCCCAGTTAGGGAGAGGATGAGTCCAAGAACAGTCCAGTTCAGATTTCTACTCACATGATCCCCTGTTTGAAGTAGCCTCGGAAAGTCTCTGATTCATGATATTGAACCTCCCGATGTTGCACTGGGCTACCACCCAGATAGTCGTCTAACTGAGTCGTATAGATGGCAGCACAGCTCTGCTCGTCCTGGGTAGAGTCCTTTCCAATCCAGTAGTGGATATCCTGGCACAAGAGACTTCCAGATTTCCGGGTCTGACGGATGCCCAAAGAGATTGTGGAATTAGGGAACAGCTCATTTTTTCTGCTCTGACAGAAGTGTGGCAGATTGGGGGTGGGGTAGGGGCTGGATTACTGTCCCTGAGCAGAGTCAATTGATCCCAGTAGAAATCTATAACGCATCTAGTTATTCTGTTCAAATCCTGGTGGCCCAAATCTAGTCCCACATTTGGAAAAAGTAATTTTGGTGTCCCTCAAGATAAGTGAGAAAATCGACAACAAAGAGAAGCCAAAATAAAGGAGGTACCTTCAGAATTTTAACAGCTCCCTCCATTTCATTCAACAAGTATTTATTAAAACATGCTATGCAAGGCACTGTGCTAGGCACTGAGGATACGAAGATTAGTTTCTGTTCTCTAGAAGCCTATATTTTTACTAGAGTTGATACTACCCAATCTCATTCCTCCATTATGGTACTCTCAAGTACTTAAGTACACAATTTGCACTGTTAACTTGCACCTGTGTGTTGCTTGGCCTTTTTCTTTTCTTTTTTCTTTTTTTTGCTTTCAGGCAATTGGGGTTAAGTGACTTGCCCAGGGTCACACAGCTAGTAAGTGTTAAGTATTTGGTCTGAGGCCAGATTTGAACTCAGGTCCTCCTGACTTCAGGGCTGGTGCTCTACCCACTGTGCCACCTAGCTGCCCTTGGCCTTTTTCTTCAGTTTAACTTCATGGCCATATACAGGGAAGATCAAGCTTAAAACTGCTTTTGTACTGTCATTTTTCAACTGAAGTCATTTTGAAGCTAGGACCTGGGCCTTTTGTATCCCTCCAGGGTATCTGGGGAAGGACTATGTAAACAGTGGTTGGCCTGATCATTGTTGACTAACATCAGACCGAGGGACCTTTCTTGGGTTAATGAGATTAATTCTCCACTCCAGCTCTGCCATTCCTTAGCCTTTGAACTGAATATGAAAAGTCAATTTTGAGGACTCACCTCGGATTTCTAAAGTCTGGGAGCTCTAGAGGGATAGATCATTCTCTCTTGCTGACCTCCTCTATTCCTGACTTCAGGGATCACCTCCGACCCTGACCACTCCCTGGGGCTGCAGTGCTGCATTTCTAACTCCCAGCTGGACACTACCAGCTAGTTGTCCTACCTGAACCTCGAATGGAGTTAATCTCCCCTGCCTCCTCTTACCCATGCCTGCCCCCAAACCTGCTCCTCCTAACTTCCCACTCTTTTACTGGCACCATAACTTTCCCATTCTTCCATTCAGGATGAAAAATTCAGAATTATCTTTAATTTTTCCTTCTTCCATATAGGCTGCTCTGTAACTCTTCTTCTCCTTCCACATTGGAATCAGTTGCTAAGTTTTGCCCATTTTTTTTACAGCCTTTGTCCTTCTTTCTACCTCCACTGATACTATTCTATTGTAGGACCTCATTACATCCTTGGAAGGCTATTGTAATAATTCCACAACTGATTTTCCTGTCTTTAGGTACTCTCCTCACTAATTCATCCTCTCACAGGACTGCTACAGTGAGATTCTACATGTAATATGTAGGTTTGGCCCTCCTCTGCTCAAAATGCTTTGGTGTCTCCCCATTGCTTAGCCACCAGAATACAAGCCCCTTAGCCTGGCATGCAAGACCTTACACAATTTGTCTCCAAATTACCTCTTCAGCCTATTTCCCTTCTGCAGTCTGCATCTGAGCCAGATTTGACTACTTAGCATTCTTTGATCTTATCCTGTCCTTTCTTGCCAGTGTCTTTACTCAGGTTGGCTTCCATGCCAGGAATGGTCTCTGCCTGTGGAATTCTTTCCCTTCCTTCAAGGTTCCATGCAGATGACACCTTCTTCATAAAGCCCTCTCATATTGTCTGCCCCACTATCCCCCAAGTTAGGTAATCTCACCCTTTTTGAATCTCCCTTAAGCTCTCTTATGAATTTAGCATATTATACCTTGTATTATTATTGCTTTGTGTATTTCTTTTATAAGATCTTTGAGAGTAGGAACTAATCTTTGATCTTTGTAAACCCAGAACACTGCAAAATGCATTTGTATATAGATGTTCGGAAGATATTGGCTTGTCCCAGGGTTCCTATGGGCCATTATCCTCCACCACCAGCAGGTGTCTCCATGGCTCCTGAGGGTAGATGACCAGGGAAAGAGACCGAGGCTAGGGAATTAGGGGCTAGGGTCTGCTCACCGAGAGAACCACATAACAGTCTCCCTCGTAGAAATTGCCATGAAGGCTCAGTGGCACCAGCACTAGTTCCATTTTCTGGAAGGACAAAAAAGTGAGTGAGGGGCACATGCCAGTCTGCATTCCTTCTACCCAGTCGCTCATCTTTCTCCCATCTTTGCTTTTCCCAACCCAAGAAATACCTAGAACAATGGCGAGGGGTATGGACCTAGTCAATTCCTCATTTATTCTGGGGGTGATGCTCCACCCCAGCCCTGTCAGGGAGCACGACCAATGTACTGTTCTGATCCAGACCTGTGATTTCATTGGTAAAGGAACGGACAGGAAAACTCTCCACCCTTGCAGATAGAGTTGTCTGTAGCCCTGAGAGGTGAAGTAATTTGCCCATGTTAATTTGCCCAATGTGGGGGCTGAGGAAGGGCTTCAACCCTGATCTTCCTGACTCCAAGGCTGGCTCTCTATTCAATAGGCCGCACTGCCTCTCAACAGAAGAGTAGGTATAATAAAGATCCTGAACTGTTCGCATCATAGTGTGGCCATTACTTATGCCTGGGAAGCATAGCCCTGAGGCCAGTTCCTGGGGCTGAGACTTGGCCAGATTTGGGGAGAGGGAAGAGCTAGTCCCCCGCAGCCCCCAAACAATTTTGCCATACATGTGCGGCTCCCTTATGTTGCTGCTAAACCAGGATAAGTAGGAGTCCCCTGCCAGCCACAAGGTAAGAGATTAGCACTTGGGAATTTCACTTCAAGTTTTGCCCCTTGGGAACAAGCCGATTCTGCTAAAAGGGGACAGCCATGTTTTGCATGACTTCTCATGTATAATTGGTATCATATTGCTAGCCTTAGTTGGAACTCAAAATTAAAGGGGACAGCTCCAGGCCAACCCCAATGCCCAGTCAGATGACAATCCCCAGGCTTTTCGATTCATGTTCTCTCAGTGATGACAGAAAGAAAATAGGTAGAATGGTAACTGATCCCACAACCTGGGGCAAATTCAGTCGGTGGGGATCCACCCAGTGCCTCTGTGGGGGTTGGAGGAAAGGCGAGCAGATTCCAGAAGAGACCTGACCATTGGTGCAGTTGTGTGAAAGGAGTCTTCTTCTATTCCCCCACCCATGGCTACCACTGACCTTGCTGCCAGGGCTACCTTACCACCACCCTTCCAATTCCCCGTGGTCAGGGTTGGAGGCAGAGCTGTAAAGAGCAAGGAATGGGGACAACAATCTCAGGAGTGCTTGGCAGAGGAAGTGTCCTGCCTCCCTAAGCAGGAAGCGTTCCCCTGTCCTTCCCCAGATGTTAACACTCGAACTTATCGCCCCACCTTCATCATGCCTCTGGGGGCTAGAAAGTCTTTTACAGAATGTTGGCTCCTGAGGTGAGGCCTTTAGGTCTGAGAACAAAGCAGCACCCTGACTCCTCAGAGGAAATGGGGCACTCTATTTCAATTAGTGAAGGAAGCCTACTATGGGAAGTCTTGTTATTGCTATGACAAGGTGAGTATGAAGGCCTTATGGGCCTTCATTAAAAATACATTCTCCAAGTTGAACGTAGAATAAAGATCATTCTTACTATCTCAGTTGCTGGTGTTCAGCATATGAAATATGCCTTTATCTACTGCCCTTAGGTGCCAGGGGCAGTCAGGGATAGCCAAGTATAGTTCATTCACTTTGCTCCTGTCTTTTACTACCCTTCCAAACCAGAGATAAGAAGTCAAGAAGCTTTCCAAAGTAGACCAAAGTTTCTGCCTGACACCAACGTTCAAGAGAGCCTAATGATGGTTCAATGCCACAGGCAGGCCCTGTCTTGAAGATGCACCTTGGCTTATGGGAATTGGTAGGTAGGATGGAGGCTGAGAATTTGTGTCTTTCACCATGGAAGCCCAGCTTACCTCTATTCTCCAAGTGATCACTCCTGGGTCATTGCTCACTGCCCTGAAGGCACCACTCAGAGACATGGTGTTTTTCTTCTCAGGACTAAACTAAAATGTAACTGAGGAAAAAGTGTAATGAGACATCCCAACACTGAGCATTTATGCAGTACTTTTCTTCTGAAACATCCTTAGTATCTTCCCAACCACAGTTCATTCTTCCATATCCTTGTGAGGCATTCCTAACTACTGCACAGATGAAGAAAACAGTAACAGCATGACATTTATGTCATGACTTAATATTGACAAAATACTTAATGGATACTGTCTCATTTAATCCTTATGACAATCCTGTGATGTAGGTTACTACAAGAATTATTATCCCTATTTTACAGATGAGGAAACTAAGGCTCAAAAAATTAAGTGAATAGACCATGGTCACACAGCTCCCAAGTGTCTAAGTTGTGATTTGAATAGAGGTCTCTTTTGACTGGAAGTCCATGGTTGTTTCTGATGAAGAAGCGACTTGTCCAAAGCCTCACAATGAATTGGTTACAGATCTAGGTTGAACTCAGGAATCTTGCCTTCCATTTCTGTTCTTTTTCTTACCTCTTTTCCCTTTAAAGTCTTGTCTGAATTCAATGGGGGCACCAAAAGATTGTTTCAGATGCTATCCAGAAATCAAGTTCAAAACAGTTCTTTGCTCTATGCCATGCCTTGAATTGCTCATCTTCCCTACTCCTCTGTTCAGAGTCAGTGGGGTGCACTGGAACGGTGCAGGGCCTGAAGACATCAGGAAACCTATCACATACTATAGAGGCAGTGGGGCTGTGGGTCAGTGTGTGAGCCCAGGTTTCCTCATCAGCAAAACAAAGATGATAACACTTGTACTTCCTATTATGAGTTGGTTGTGAAGAGAGAGCACTTTGTAAACTATATAATGCTGTGTAAAGAAATGGCAGTTATTGTTATTTCTCTGACTCCTCCTTTTGCTGCATTTTTTAAAAAAAACAAACAAAAGCCATGTACGCCTGCTGTAGTCATAGGAAGATTCCCTGGTGCCCCATGAATGAAAAGGAACAGAGCAGCAGGGCTGGGCAAAGGACAAAAGGCCCCAGGTGCAAGGCACAGTTAAGTGTGGGGTGTGGTCTAGTCTCCAGAACGTGGTGTAAATTCAGCCCCATCTACTTAGGTGGTAGGGATGAGGTGCGCAGGATGCCAGGATGACTGACTCCATCATGTTTCTTGGGGAAGGGTTGGCTCCAGCCAGCTATTTGGCCCTGGGGTGAAGGGAAGTCCCTGTAGGCCATATAGTATCTTTGTTATATGCATTTGTTTAATATTTTATTAGGCACCTATCTCTAATTTTGTATTTTTACATAATTTAGAAATATGGATTTGGCACTTAGGCTTATAATCTAACATTTTACAGTTGACAGAAATAGGAGAAAATTCCTTCTCACCCACAAACAGTAAAGGAATAGGATGATGGAGTTTATAAATAAATGCAGATACACACTAAAAGAAAAGCAGCCCTACAGGAATTGTAGGAATTACAATTGGTAATGGGGTAGGATATCATGAGAAAATCTAATTAGATCTTTTTCTTTATCATTCATCTATAAAGCCAGATTTGGAGAACCAGCACCATTCTAGGAAAGCCTTTGAGAAAGAGCACACCTTCCAAATAGAGAGCTCTATTCTCTGCTTTTGCTTTGGGTCAGAGGATGGATGGTGATGAAAAGCAGACAGAAGCAAAGGAGTCACTGGGCAACTTGCCCTGCCCTACCTTGCACGGAATTTACCCTGGACCTAATGCTCTGTATCTAGTGGATATGGAGAATTTTCTCTCCCCTTTGGTGCTCTGCCCCTTACCCTACCCCCAACATTAAAGAGTGGGGAGACAGACAAGGAAGGGAAGCACTGAAGAAGCTTAATTTTTCTCATCATTTTTTTCTAGTTCCCAAAGTAACAGAACCAATTCATTAGCAAATTAAAAATGAAGCAAGAGCAACATATTCAACTGAGAATAGATCCTATTTCCATTTGAAGCCATCCTTCCCTTTCAGATGGCAAATTTAAAGGTCAGAACCCTGGTGGCCCCAGAGAAGGCACACCTTCTATGAAGGAACCTGGGGAAGGAGTTGGAAAAATAATTGGTCCAGAGTAGGTGGTGTTCTGTCCTGCCCCCAAACTAACCGCTTTTACCTTCAGCCCCAGTTGCCAAAGGCAGATTACTGTATAACTCGCTTTGGGGCCAGAAAACCTGTAGCCCTGTGAGGAGATACAAAAATGGCACCTTTATAAAAACCAAACTAACAGGAATTGTTTAATTAGGAATATAGGTTCCTGAAGTCAAAGCAGAATCAAGTTTTTTGAAAGGAGTATTTTCAAACTCCTGATTTATTCCTTTTGGCCACATACATTTGCCAGTTTTTACCTCCAATAACTACTGCTATTGCTGATTGCTCCCTAACCCTCTCCTCCACTCATCTGCAGGGAAAAATTTGAAGAAGAAACTGCATCAAAAATACAATTCAATTTAAAACACAGAATTCTTGAAGCCCATGATTTCTGTGCACCCCACCCAACCCCACAACCAGGTACCTTCCTAACTCAAGTTGTTTAGTACATACATAATCATTTTTTAATCTGATTTCATTTTGGTTTGAACCATCTGTAGACACCCAGGTGATTACAAGTGCAGCATTAGAAATCATTGCCCTAGGCTGGAGGGAATACCCTTTGCACCTCAAAATGGATTGTGGGTGTCTCCTCCCATTACTTCACCCACCCCATCTTTCTCCAACAGAGAGCTGGAGGATCCACAGAATCCTCTCAATCCTGCCCATGTTCACCAGAACTTCCCCCCCCCAATAGTTTATTCTTTACCCCAAAGAATAATCTTTTAAAAACTAAAGCCAAGAAAAGTAATTTAAATCTTCCAGAATTGTACAGGATCGTTCCCTCTGAATTCAAGAATGATATTCACCCATAAACCAAATCAACCTTACCTGGTCTTTTCTCCACTACACTCCTCAGTCTCCCTGTAAGTAGGAGGCAGGCAGCTAGTAAGGACCAAACTTATCCAGAGCCACAGAAGAGGGATGGTACCAGATCTTTGCTCTTTACTCAGGATAGCTGACCTGACAATGGCTCGTATTTGCTTATATTTGCACCTTAACCACATTTTCTCAGTCCTGGCCAATCACAGCCAGGCTAGCCCCTGGCTGGACTTATGAAGAGAAGGCTTTATGTGCGCCTATTCAAAATAGCAAAAACCAGGAGACTTTTAAAGGCCTCTTTTCTCTTTTAACTCTCCACACCCTATTCTAATTGATTTTTCTAAAGTGCGCAGCCCATCAATAATGCAGGAAGTGAAGTGGGGTGGAGTGGAAGAATAGATATGAAATTAGCCATATTATAGATGGGGATACATTAGGCTCATAGATACTGTATGACAGATAGAAAGCCAAAACAAACAACAGACACAGTACCAGGAAATCCTGGACTTGCTCTGCTGAGAATAGTACCCAGGGAACTTGGAGCCAGAACACTGCTACCGCAGTGAGGAATAAAATTGGGGGACAGAGCCCTAAGACCTAGAAAAAGAAGCCTGGAAGGAAGATGATGTTATTTGGAAAGAGGTTTTTTTCCCTAAAAAAAAAAACCATCCTCAAGGTTACCCTCAGTCTTAACAGAATGCCTCAGCTCTTTTCATGGGGAGGTGAAGTGCTTGAAATGCATGGGACCTCAGGGTTCTTTTGCACTCCTCAGTCTCTCATAGAAAGTCAACAGTAAAATGGGGATCGATGTTCAAGAAGTAGATGCAGGTGAAATAGTTCCATATGGCCTGGAGAGGGAAGGGGGTGGGAAGCATTCACATAACCCTCGGGAGAAGCCCCATGGTGAGCCTAGAGTGGGTTTTCTAGGCTGCAGTCAGTTGGTTTGAGTCCTGCTAGCACTGCAGATCTAAATGTAGCCATGTCTGGGAAACGGCGCCTTGCACAACAACATGCACATCCTGGTTCGAGTACACAATCACAAGGCTATATTCCTGGCTGGGTTTTTTTTTTTAAAAAACACCTTTTTATTATTTAATTGCAAGTAATACAAATATTCCAAAAATATAAACAGACACTTAATGGCATCAAACATTTCAAGTTTTGGAATAAAACAAATTTCTCCAAGAAACCATTAATCTGTAACCAGGGTAGTCAGAAATCCTATAGCACAGGTGATGTGGGGGCGCAGTCCCCCCTCTACCCTCCAAATCCAGCATTCCCTCAAGTGGAAAAGCAGCACAAGAAAGAGTAACTCTCACACCTAGGGTCCTTTCAAGCAGAAAAGCTTGCCTTTGAGGCTGGAAGAGAAAGGTGTGTCCTCTCCAGGGAAAAAGGCCTGGATTCATTAGAGAAGGGGGCTGGCCAACCAGCACCCCTGCAGAATCCAGGTTTGAGTGAAGCCACCTGCTTTTGAGAGCCCTGTTCTGCAGAGGAGACCGAGTCATGAATGAAGTCCATGAGAGCCTGGGACTCTGCACTAACAAACAAGCCAAACACCCTGGGTTCCCCTTATTCTCCCCAGACACCCTGGAGGCAGTGGGAATTGTACAGAGGTACCTAGTCTCCCAATTTTCCCAAACCTTACTGGTTCAATACAAAGGGAGAAGTTCTACCCATGACTTGGGCATGGAGAATTCTTTAATATGGCACAAGGGGCTCCCAGGAAAGAAGGCAATGGGGCAGGGCAGTGAAGGGCCAGGGGGCTGGCTACTTTTTTAGACTTTCCATGATTAGCATATCCAAAGTTTCTGGGTTCTTATATAAAACAATAAAGGTAAAATTACAAGTTTACAAAATAGTCAACATCTTTGGGAGGCAGGAGGGAGCTAAAAGTCCCAGACAACTCTTAAGGCAAATTTACCGAAGGATATTTCTTTCCCCGTTCAACAATTAAAACACTCGAGTTCATGGTCCAATTCTCAAAAACTCCTTCAGGTCGAGGACATCGCTCTGTTTGCCTCCCCAGCCTGGGATCGACAGGCCTCTGAAGAGCATCCTCTCTACAATGTGCAGAGTTGAGATGCTTAACCCTGACGCTTTCCCAAACTGGCCCTTCGTTTAAAGCTTCCCCCTATGAGAGGGATGTGAACATCAGGCTCTTTCTAAAGAGAAGCCCAATCAGAGACAACTATTGTTGTCACTGAAGAGGCAATATAAAAAACAAAATTTGGCAGAAGGGTGTATTCCTGGAATGGTTGGTCTATGTGTAGGAAGATCTCTCTAATGAAGCATTAGCTCGTTAGCCGAGACCTAGTTTAAATAGGGCACCTTGACTGAGCTCTGCTCATAGCCAAGTGAGGTAAAGAACTCTGGTCACCCTTTGGAGAGAAGCCCTCCACTTGCTTAAGGACTCTGGACCTCTTTAAAGTAAGGGTGGGGGTAATGGGTGTACCCACTGGGACCCACAGGGGAAAGAGAACACTTTTTCCCCTAGCCCTGGCTCATTCCAAGAGTAAACCTGCCATTACTTCAGTAGTAACTCCTCTTGGGACCAGGCTTTGAAAACCCTGCCAAACCTTCCCAAACTACTGTTCCAAACTACTTCTGGCAGGCCTGGCATAAGGTCCTGTTCAAATCTAGTTGAGGTGAATGAGGTAACAGCTCTCTAAGGGAACATGCTTTAGCTGGAAGACCATGAAGACTGGACAGAGGGGCCAGGGTGAATGGCATATTTACAGCTGAGTAGTAGCTAGTGGCTGTAGTGCAGGGATGCCAAGTACACAGGGCTTCCTACGAAATACAGTGAGTGTGTGGACCAGTGGGCCAGGGAGTATCGATATTTGTTGCAGGTCACTTAAAGGGCATCTCAGTAGAGGCAATATAAAGGAATGTCAGCATTACCCCTCCCCCTACCTTCTTTAGAACCAGACTCAGGGCAGCAAGGGAGCGGCCCCGGAATAGAGGCTTAGGAATGTCTTTCAGCAGTCGTCTTTCATTATTGCTCATGTACGTTTCAGGAGGTCCAGGTCTCCAAGCTCCTAATGGCAAAGGCAGGTGGGCTTGGACCAGACGTCAGGAATGTTTTCACTACTGCTCACTCAACCTTGAGAAGCTAGTAGATAATAGCCTGGAGGTAGGGAGGATCAAGTTCAAAATCTACGTGTGTCCCCCCTCCCCCCCACCATGACAACTGGCCGTGGTTGGTTGGTAGGTTTCTGTCAGCACCCAGACTCACCCTCCATTTATACTCAGGAGAACCAGTCTTAGGAAAAGCTGCCACAGAGAAGTAGCTAGAGAGAGAAAATGGACTCTGGAAATTTTGTTCTAGATCTACACAGCTTTTAGGTCCCTGGATATGTGCTCCATGGCACCATCTTGGTATAAAACCCAAGGAGAAAAGATGGAAACCTGAAAGCAGCAATGGAGGGAACCAGAATTGGCACCAAAGATTAGGTTAAAGAGGGACTATAACCAGAATGCATACCAAAACACAAAACAGCTGCTCTCCCTGATTTTCATCCAACTGGCTATTTCCTGAAGCTCTCCCCACCCCCCAACACCAACCCCCACCCCCAAGAAAACATCTGAAAGTCAAAGAGAATGGTGGGGAAGAATCCTAAGTTTTAAGTGTACTGTACCTTAAGCAGTGTGGAGTTTCTTCAGGGAAAGGTAAGGAAATTGGCTCCTAATTACCTTTTAGGTGATCTTCCTTTAGGTTCCACACCACACCCATTTCAGCAGAAGCCAAGGCTATAGCAGAATGTGATTACAAGATAGTGCTGCTTACTTGGGGTTCGCCTTATGAAATCCCAAAAGTGTTTCCCAATACATCAGAGTTCTCCAAACTTGGAAAGCGATTCCATTCTGTACATGTGGCTTAATAAGAATGAATGCTTTTTAAATAAAAGAGCCCCTAACATCATGCTGACTCTGAAGTGCATACTGATTTAGAAAGCTCACATCTGAGCATGCCCTGGGTCTCCTTTCTTTTCTGTGTTACTAAGGCATTTGCAGGAAGCCAGCATACCACAAGGAAGAGAACCAACTGTTGGTTCTTGTTTATTTCCTACCTACAGGACGTAGGTGTCCATGGGGCTGCCCATGCAAAGGCCTCACCATCCCATCCCTCCCAAAAGTCAACTGCTTGGAAGATGAAATGGGAAAGGATTCTGCTCAAGGAATTGGAAGAGCTTCAATGACATTAAAACTGCTCCCTCCTGTTCCTCTGAAGAAGGATTCCTGAAAAGAACTGTTCTCTAGACTTCTCTCAAGATCTATAATCTGATCCACGACTCAGAATAATAGAAATTCTGGCTATGAAAATTCCTCTTGAGCCTCTGACTCCCTCATTCCTTTGCTTTCACCCCAAGCCCAAGCTTCTTTCAGCAACAAACCAAGCCCCACAATCCATTTTTAGAAAGAGAACTTTAAAACAGAGTCCCATCATGTGAAATCAATTCTCTATCCTCCTTTGAGAGTAGGGGAGTCTCTTGTCCATGGTTTCAGAAATGTAACGGGGGTGTGAAGTTGAGGGAAAGGCTAGTGGGAGAAGGCCAGGGAGGAGCTCTTGGTGGGTGGCAGTGATGGCCCCTTGGACCTGACCCTCATCTCATGGCCATGCTTGTGAGGCTAAGGTCTAGGCTCCTAGGATGTTTTAGAAACAATCTCTTTTTGCCACGGTCACCACAGGTCCCGAGCAGTTTTTGAACAGTGTGCATGTGGATCTGGTGCCAGTTTGCCCACATATTATGCTGACAGCAGCATATCCCCACCTCCTTGGCACAGGCCCTGCATATCAGGGAAGACTCGAGGTTTGGCAATAGAGCACTGACTGGTCTTTGTTCCCACGAAAGGTCAATGGCTCTTGGACTGACTCTCTAGGAGACGAGCTCTGGCTCAGTGGAGTCTGACCCTTGACCGTTTGACTCTTCTCCCACCTGAATCATCATGTCAAGGCGAGAAGGTGTCGGTGTCATACACATACACACACATACATGCTCACAAGTGTGTCCCTCTAGTGCCCATGTCATGGAGCAGGGGGTACTAGTTGTCACTGGTCCGCTGTTAGCCCATATTGTCATCTAACCTGCCCTAACTCACTTTACAATTGTTTCTCCCTGCTTCCTGTTTCCGCCATCCCTTCCTGGCTGATACCGAAGGCACAGTGTGTCACAGTCCCCTGCAGTCCTAGATGCTGACAAGCTTGAGAAGGCTACGGTGCCCTCAGCTGCCCAAGGCTAGTATAAACATCTTCTGCTCCACTTAGCTCCTCAAAGATGGGGATCAAATTCAGCAGCTCCGTGTCTGCCATGTCATCAAACCAGGATTGCACAGGTACCTGTAGAAGAACAAGAAGCAGAATGAGCAGGGCAGAGCTGGCCAGCACCCTTGGATTTCAGGTGGAGAGTTCACTGGATTTCAGGACTTCTCCCATCCTTCTTTTCAATGTGGGTTGAGTCCTGTTAGCCTTCCTTAAGTTAGGAAAGGTTATCTCTGGAAGTTAAAAAAGGGACTAAAAATAACCTTCCCGAGTATCCCACAAGACCTAGAAGACAAACCCTTATGAATGGCTCTTGGCACTGACTGCCTCTTCCCAACTCAACTTATTCTACACAATAAACAGGATGTAAGCCTATTAATCCTCCTCCTTCATCTCAACTGTCAGCCAGGGGCTAGAATGAACTGAGACTCAAGTGTACTCACTGCGTTCTCTGGGTGGAAGATGTATGAGGCAGGAGAATTGTCCAGTATCAAGGTTTTCCTCAGGTCTCTCCCTAATCGGCTGAGGTCCTTGACATAGCAGCCCTGGTGGAACACACAAGACTCCCGGAAGAGGCGAGCCCGGAACACACCACACTGGTCCAAGAGATCAGTCACAGGGTCAGCATACTGTTCAGAAAGAAGAAATCCAGGTTTGGTTCCATTCTTCCTTCCCTGTGGGCCCCAAGGTTATCTAGCAGAGGCACTGATCTTTTCTCTGCCTGTTGCCCTCCACTCTATCCCAAGATACCTTGGCCAGGCTGGCAGTGAAGAGGACACACTCAAACAACTCCCCCATTCGCCTCAGGAACTCATCCACATAAGGCCTCTTAAGCACATATACCTGGAGAAAACCAGACAGAACTGTGAGAAGGTGGAAAGTTGGAAAGATCTGGAAGTTTTAGGTAAAGGCTTAAAACTGTCATCTGACTCTTTCCCCACCCTGTTCCAAAGAACAACAATGTGTGCTCAGACTTCATTTGTCCTTGGCATTGGTAACTGGGCTGCCATGAACAGAAAACTTCAGCCCTACTGACCATGGCCGAGTCGGTCAGCATCACTCACCTATACTCTTCTTTCACCACTAGGTTCCATCTGTCAGCTTGGGGCCAAGACCATTTCCATGGCCCAGGGCAGAAAATGGAAACATGGTGGGCAGGGCTGGGGGTGTGTCCTGGGAGTGTCCACTTCTGGCAGGGTGCAGTCAGCTGCCTCCAGAAACAAGTAATCAAGAATAGGCCAGCAGCTGGACACAGCCTATCCTGGATTACTTGAACCTGGCTGTAGCCTTTGCTGGATCTTCCTGTTTTCTTCAGCTCTGGTTGGACAGTCTGTTGGAGTCATTGGTGGGCTAAAAGTGGCCTTACTCTCAAATTCCACTTCCTCCAAAATCACTGCTGAATTGATGGGCAAAAGCCCTCAGTGCTCACCATCCTTGCTCCCAGTTTTTCCTTTACAAGCACTTGGTGGATCTCTTTTTCCACCTGCTCCAATTACGTAATTATCTCCTTATTGTCTTCCACCCCTAAAACTTTTTTTTTTTTGCTTTTTGGTGAGGCAATTGAGGTTAAGTGACTTGCCCAGGGTCACAAAGCTAGTAAGTGTCAGGTGTCTGAGGCCGGATTTGAACTCGGGTCCTCCTGAGCACCTAGCTGGTGCTCTACCACTGAGCCATCTAGCTGCCCTCACCCCCAAAACATTTATCTGTGGCTTCTGAGAACCTCTTAGTTTAAATGTTTTTACTTTTGCTGTCAGTATGTTATAACTACTTGTGAGACCTTACAAAGTCTTAACTGGTCTCTCTGCTTTTCTTTTCTTCCTTCTGCAATTCACTTTACATGAACAGAGGACCTAGACAATGTTCCTGAAATGGCAGTCATTATGTCACTCCATAGCATCCTACTGCACCCAAGAGCCTTCCTTCCAGGGCTGGACCACCTCACCAGCCTGGTCTCGCTATTGTGCAACAGGAATCTCTGCAGCCTGTATGCTCCTCCTATAGAAGTAGCTTGCTCATTCCACAAATGCCATTTTGTCAGAGTAGAATGATGGCCTCCTCCTTCCTTCCACCCTTAAACCCCACTGGAAGCTCTTCTCCAGCACTCCGTCCCTTAATCACCTCTCCCTGCTCACCCTTTCATCCTTTATATGCTGTTTTGTACATGGCCAGTCTTTTTCAGGAGCGCATTCTGTGTCCCTAGCTTGAGGGCCCTGAGGGCCAAACTCAGGTCTCTTCAGGCCCCACCAAAGAGTGCTCAGCTGACCAAAGAGGGCAGCACAGGTGCTTACACAGTGCCAATCCCAGTAAAATGAATAACCAAAGCCTTGTCATGCCATGACAGTGACCACCAGGACAGCCTCATCACCCATCTCTGAGGATGGTTTTCTTTGAACTCTCAAGAGGTCATAAGGACACCAGTGTCCAGCCCGAAATCTATCCTGACCCTCCCAAGGCTTTCTGCATGGTTGCTGCCCTGGGCAGGCAGCCAGCCTGATGAACTGCTGATTTTTAGTTTATTCCCACTATCATACGCTGCTCATAACTTGATCCACAGTGACTTTTGGCCCCAGGGCACAAACCCATCAACATGTAGGTCTTGTTTACCTGGTGAGTGGTCCCCTCAATCTCCACAGGCACTATAAAATCAGCATTGCTGATTGGCTAGAAGGAAGAAAAGTCAAGGAAAGGGTCAACACAGCAGAAAGTGGGGAGCCTATTCTCAGTGAATCTTGGATTTACTGACAAAAAATTGCAAGGAGGATTTCTCCTCTGCTATCGTTTGATAAGATGAACAAAAGCTAAAAAGGCCACTCAGGCTTAGAGCGCTGCAAATCCCACATCAAGCACCTCTGCAACTTACAAACTTGTCTAGGAATAGAGGGCCCACACCACACCTACACCCCCATGTTTTCCTCACTGCTTTCTCTTCCTGGGCATAAAGTAGAAGGTTGTTTGAATACCTGGAAGCCTAAGGAAGGTTTATTCTTTCTTTCTTCCTTGAATCACTAAGCAGGGGATATCTTAATTAGTTGCAACATTCACTATGCTCATTTCTACCTGTGTTGTCTATTCCTCCCTCCTGGCTAATGCTGCAGGGTTCACATAACACCAGTATTCTAGGTGAAACTAAAAAGATTCTCAGGAAAACTAAGAGAAAGGAAAGAGAAGAGGGCTTTATTCAACTTATTTAGACCTACTGCCTATACCCTGAGTTAGGGTGACAACAGCATTAAGCTCTGTTTGGCTTAGCGGATGGTGAGTTATAGCTAACTAATCTGGTATGCAGACATTTATCTGGCAATCACAGAGGTTGTGAAGCTGAGGTACAAAATACCAAACGGAACCCTCCCTCCTGTCTGTCCTTCTTGCTCATCTAACAAATATCTGTTAATCACCTACTACGTGTAAGGCACTCTAGTCTCTTTTAGCTTTTGCCTGAACTATCCTTACCTCATCTCAGTAATCATGTGAACCTCCCAGCCTGAACACTGGAATAGCAAGGGGGCCTGACAAGTCAGATTACCTTAAAGGAACTATGCACGAGGGTCTCATCCAAGTCAATCACCACACAGATTCTGCCTTGATCTTGCTGCGTCACCTCCGGGAGCAGGCATGTGCCTGGGATCTGAAAACAAAAACTCAAGCTGCTAGGTTCCCCTTAGGCAACCTGGGAAAGACAGAAGCACTGCCACAGCCTGCCCAGGGATATGAAAGTTTGGCTGAGCTAGAAAACATCCTCTAGGATTTACCTAAAAGAGGGAACCCCAAAAAGAGAAAGTAGCCAAGGAGTGGACTGGATAAAGAATAAAAGTCTTCATTCCCTGAGCCTGTCATGCAGGAAAACCCTAAGCAGAGCAGATTCCCAAGTTTCCTAACCTTCCCAGAGACATGATCTATCGGGGAGAAACCTGACTTCTTCCTGGGAAAAATAATTGTCCAAAGGAAGAACTGCCAGTTTGACATATGGGGCAGGGTCATCAATTTCAAGATGGAAGGGTTTGTAGCATCAGTAAAAATACTTCACTCCCTAGATTCTTAGAGTTAGGGGGTCTGAGAAGGAAGAGTTCTTCACCCTCCCCCTCCCACCCCCACAGTGTGCCCACTGTCCAATAGAGACAAGAGCTTCAATACCCCAAAGCTGATGCTAGGGATTTTCTAGCTTTCCTGTAAAGCTCGCTAGAAGGCAGGAAGTTGGCCCAGGCACTTGTTTGTCTCAGGGCCAGACTCAGAATGGCACTGCTAGAATTTAAATACCTGGTAAAACTGGTACTGAAGACACTGGAGCAGATCCGACTAGAAAGAGAAAGGGAAAAGTATCAGTGAAAGAAGCTCCTGTTTTCTCCTTCCAGTGTTCTCTGCATCTTCTGTTTCAGACACCAGACCTAAAACACACTTCCCCTTCATACTGTAATCACCTGGTGGAAATGAGAAGCAATTTTATATTTTCTTCTTCAGAGCAGTATAAGATGGCTCCCTACAGCTAAAGCCACACCAGTCATGCAAAAAAGACCTTTGGAGACATGGGCAGCACAAAAGAAGTAAAGGGGGCTTTGGGGCCTAAATGAAATTTTGTTCCCATTCTTACATTTGCTGGGACTGGCCTGCGAATTCTCAGCTCCCTCTATTTTTTAAAAAAGATACTAAGGAACAGAGCTAGATTAAGGGACCAGCCCAGGACATAATGTGTGTAAGGGGCAGACTCAAAGTCTGCGTTCATTCAAAATACTGAAATTTTGGTCTCTTGCTTTGCCCCTGAACTCAAGGGCCTCTATGTAAGCATATGTATCACATACTTCCCAGTTACATGATAACTGGAACAACAGTTGTTTTTTTAAATATCTATTTTATTAAAAGTTTATCGTGACTGGGATTGGTGCAGAAAGGGTCTCGATGGCCCACCCAAACTTATGTCATCCCTGGAAACCTTGAATAACAGTCTTTTTAGGGGAAAATGATTTTTATTAATTTGATTTCTAAATGCTGTTTTGTCTCAGCAAGATGGTCCCCAAATACCTGAAGCACAAATTCAAATTCTTATGACAGCCATAACCAAATCTAAAAAACCCAAAAGCTACAAAGAGGTATAAAAGTTGCTGCTCTAAACTGGCTAGATCTGGCCATAAAGATAGAGGATATATTCTTCTTCTCTTTGGATTGTATCATCCAGCTGATGAAAAAGAAAAGAGTTAATGCTGCAAAGTCTACCATACAGAAATGCAGATTAATACAGTATAAACTAAGTCCATTAAATGCTAAGGAGAATTCAATACAATATAGGAGAAAATTGAGGTTGGTGAGGTTAATCATGGAAGGCCTTCCTTAAAAGGAAGCAGACTCGGGGATTGATTTTTTTGAGAGAGAATATGGGTGTGGGCTAGAAGAAGTGTTTTGAGCATTGCAGCTGACCTGACAGAGGTGACTACCAAGAGGGAGAGACCCTAACTTCTACTGGGGTAGTCAATGAGGGACATATGTGGGTCAAGGCTTTCCTCTACAGTCCTACCCCCACTTCTCAGGGCATCCCTATTACCTTGGCAATGGTGTTGGTTTCCTCCTTGTATGAGGCGAGCTCATTGTTGCAGCCTGACTGGCCAACATGTTGGGCACGGAAGCAACAGAAAAGTGCCTTGAAGATGTTACGTCCACGAGGCTTCTTGGGAGAGGACTTGGAGACCAGACCTAGAACAGAGATGGTGACAAGGTATGAGCTGCAGTGCATGTATCTGGATAGTACTCCTCTCATTCCTATAGGATGCCCATAATGGCAGTCTCTTGTTCTTATTTATTCCCCCAGCAACTTCATTCAGTGGGCAGAGAAGCTCAAAGGTGCTTGTGCAAGGGACTGAGGTACAGAGAACTTGCTCCTAATTCCAGAAAATGAAGCGAGGGCAGGAGCTCAGGCATTCTGCTCCCAACCTGATGTGCTACTTTATCCTAGAGCTGCGGCTTCTGGCACCTAATACACGGAAGCCATCCACAAAGTTAAATTGATGAAGACCAAAGAAATGGAAGTAATTGGTACACAAAACCAAAGTGTTTCAGGTACAACCATCCCTCTCCAACAGAGAAGGGTCAGATTTCTCAGCCCATTAGTTGATTTACCCAAAGTGGAGTTCCCATTCAGCATCAGCCTAAAAGCCCCTGGAAAAACCACAAACTCTGATGATTAAGCTTTATTTTCCCTCAAATCCCCTCCTCCACAGCCAATTTCCTTGGAAGATGTATAACTAACACTCAATTACTCACTTATGGATTACCCACTTGCAATGGCTATCTATAGCAATTCCTGGCTGCATTTCTCATCTTTGCTCAGCAGACTGTGTTCCTTTACCAACCTAACCAATGTAAATCTGAGAAATACAGTTAATTTAACATTAGGTTAAACAGAGCATTACCTGTAAGAGTAACCCAATATTATAATGCATCTCTGATCTCACTCTTTTCGTTTTTTTTTTAGGCAATTGGGGTTAAGTGACTTGCCCAGGGTCACACAGCTACTAAGTGTCAAGTGTTTGGTGTGAGGCCACATTTGAACTTAGGTCCCTTCTCACTTCAGGGCTGGTGTATCTCACTTTTTTCAATATAGATCTCAACCTATCCACGTCTGTCCATCCTATGTAAGTCCTGTCCATTTCCTGCCATAAAGCCACCACAGGGGGTCCACCTCATATGCCAGAGACCTTTTAATCCACTGTCTAGAAAAGCACAGTTCGTTAGTTGGCCACACTTGTAAGACAGTCTGGTGCAGCAGAAAGAACACTGACTTAGGGTCAGCAGACCTAGATTCAAACTGCAGATATACCACTATCTTGATGACCTCAGGGAAATTACTCTACATCTTTAGGTCTTGGTTTCTTGATCTATAAAACAGGGATAACAACATTTTTACTAGCTAGCTCACAGGGTTTGGGGGATGACTGAAAGCACGGAAAACACATCTCTTGTCCCTATCCCCCTGAATCCTGTATCCAAAATCTCCCACCCCGTTTCTACCTCTGCAACTCCTGCTTTATAATGAACAAACTTCCCTGATTCAATTTAGACTTCTTTCTGTCATGCTTCTTCCATTTCCTACCATCCACTGACCTGGTTCGCTCTTCACATCCCCCACTCCTATACTGCATTCTTGGCCATCCTTTCCCAGTATTGGTCACATTTCTCGCACAACCACCTTCTGCCTTTCCCCAAGTCACTGATCCCAGAAAAAGAAGTCAGAATATTTCTTCTCCCTGTTGCAGCAACCTCTTTTTTTGAGGTTCACTCTATCCAAAATTTGTGGCCCAATCCAGATCCTGGTTGTAGTTATCTACTGACCTTCAGACATTTCTCCCTATTTTCTCATGTATTCTGGGTCACACTCTCCCCCTGACTTCAACATACATGTTGTTCCTTCATTCAGCCTAACTTCCAAGTTCCTCAATCTACTCAATTCCCTTGACTTATCCACCACTTCACCTCAGCTATACACAGAGACTGTCACATCCGTGGTCTTGTCATTGTCTCTAAGTGTTCACTTCCATGATCAAGAACCCTAAACTTCCTTATTCAATCGTAATCTCTTATCATTCATCTCTTCCTAAGCCTTACTCCTCTTAAATCTATTTTTTATCTTCACTCTCTCTTCTAATCTCTCCACCCCCTCAGTACTTTCCTCCCACGGCATCACCCCTGTTCTGGCTACATGCTCCTTCTTTCCCAATCTCAACTCTAAAGTTAACGAGTTCAGGTAGGTGCCTTTGCTCCTTGTCCTATCACTGCTCAGGCCTTACCAAACCCAACTCTGGGCTGCTCTAATTCACAGGGCTACTGAGTTCAGTTGGAGGAAGTCACGAAATGATGCATAATTTCCTCCACTTGTAACTAATCTCAGCTCCGTCTCTCTTCACCATAGTCGCTAATTCACCCTCCTCTTCTGTTCTCAAGTCATCCACACCACTGCTCCTCCCACACTCTCCACTACTTAACTGAGTAAATCAAGGCCATTTGCTGGGAGCTCTCTCTTCTCCCTCTCTATTTCAAAGTCTCTTGATATCATCCCCTTCTTCACTCCAGTCTCTAATGAAGAGGTGGCCCTTCAAGGTCAACCCCTCTACCTGTAGCTTTGATCTCTTCCCCTTCAGTCTTCTCCAGTAAACTGTGTACACTAACCTCTCCACCTGATTTCCAGGGTCTCTCTACTAGCTCCTTTACTGCTGCTTACCAATATACCCAAGTCTTCTCTATCCTTGAAAAACCCTCACAAGATCTTACCATCCCCACTACCTAATGACTATTAGATATCCTCACTCTCTTTCCCCCTTTCCAGCCAAATTCCTTGAAAAATAAAATCTATCACTTGATGTTTTCATTTCCTCCATCCCCTCTAAAAGACTGGGCCTCTCTATCTCACTCAACCCAGAAATGCAGTGGCTATTTACAAGCCCAATCTCAGCATGGAAGCTTTGACCTGTTTCATTTCCATCCTGATATAGACACCTGGATTGGCTTACTTCACCACAGCTCAGAACTCCTGAGCTCAAGAGACCCCCCAGCCTCAGCCTTCCCAGTAGCAGGGATTAGAGGTGTTCCACACCATGCGTGGCCTCTCACTTTCTTCTGTACCCTCAGCAATTTGGCCTCTGACCTCACCATTCAACTGAAATTGCTCTCCCCAAAATTACCCATTAGTCTTTAAATTGCTAAACTTAATAGCCTGTTCTTAAACCTCCCTATTAACTGCTTTTTCCTCTTGGATTTATTGTTCTTTTTGGATTTTCCTGACACATTTCTCTTCTGATTTTCCTCCTACCTGACAGGCTTCTCTTTCTCAGATTATTCTGCTGGACCATCATACCTATCCCATTCCCTAACTGTGGGTGTACCCACGATTCAGTTCTAGACCTTTTCTTGCTGTTGGTGACCTCAACTCCTATGAGTTCAATTATTGCCCCAATACAAATGACTGCAAGATTTATATATCCAGCCCTACTCTTTCTCCGGAGCTCTAATCCCACATCACCAACTCTCTGTTACATAGTTTGAAATGGATGTCCTGTAGGCACCCTAAACTCAACGTGTCTAAAACAGAACTCATATCTTTCCCCAAACTCATTCCTCTTCTGAATTTCCCTATTTCTATTGAAGGTACCACCATCCTTTTAGTCAGTCAGGTTTACAACCTTGGAGTCATCTTTTGACTATTCATTCTGACTCATCCCACATATCTACTCATGGAAAATGTTGCTTCTATCTCTGTGACATCTCTAGCATCTCTAACTTTTGCCACTCCATGACTTCATTACCCTTCATTACCTCTCAGCTCACCAGGACTATTGTAATACTGACTCCCTACTCCAATCCAGGCTCCACATAGCCACTCACATGAGTTTACTAAGGTACAGATCTGAACAGGTTTCCCCTTATCCCTAAACTCCAGTGGCTTCCTATTACTTCTAGGATCAAATATAAATTTCACTGACTAGTACCTCATGAGAAGCCTGTTCTTTCTTACCTTTCCAGGCTTCTTCCTCTCCTTTACATGTTCTATGGTCTAGTCATTGGCCTGCTTTTTTTTTTTTAATCCCATGGTTCTCTGTGCCTTTGTACTGGTTGACTGGTATGATTGACACACCCTCCCTCCTCACTTTCACCTCTTGGAATTCTTCCTTCCAGAATCATCCAAATCTCATGTTCTCCATGAAACCTGCCTTGATCCCCTCAGCCCCTAGTGTCCTTCTTCCTTCCTGAAACTGCCTTGTATTTATTTTGTGTATATTCTGTATATTCGTATTATCTCTTCTATTAGAAGAAAAGCTCCTTAATCCTTAAGAGCTGAGACTTTTTACTTTTGTCTTCACACTCTCCTTCCTTTACAGAATCTTTCACTTAACAAATGCTTGCTGATGGATTGAAACAAAAAAAGATTATGTTATTTTCCATTTCTGAATGTCTCTGACTTTGCTCTCTCTCAATTAGCACAGCTAATGAAGTCTCAAGAAACAAGCAATGCTAACTCCTAGTCAGCAGATGGTGCAAGAGACCCACTCAGCACAGCAATGTGGCCAAGGCTCCAACAAGCCCTACTATTTACAAATGATTTATTCGAAAGGAAATTCACACCTGAAATGTCCTGAGTTCTGTAGCCTATCCTAGGTCTGTTAGGCCACTGACCATCAATTCTGAGTTAGAAAGGAACTAAGACCTGGTCCAGACCCTTCATTTTACCCAGGAGGAAAACAAGGTCCAAAGAGTAACTTATCCAGTGTCACACAGAGCTGGGTTCGGAAGCCAGGTCCACTGGACCACCTCAAACAAGCACAATATGGTAGCAGTAGCTAAGATTTATTTAGTGTCTATGAAGTCAAAGTCACTTTCTTTATGATACCCTACAGGGTAGGCAGTATAAATATTATTTCCATTTAAGAAGGATGCAGTGGTTTGTTCTAGGTCACAGAGCTATTAAAAGGCCAGTGTTTTCCACTCTGCCTAGTGCCACCAAGCCAACTGGCTTGGCCAAAGTGAAAGTTACATGGAAGCAAGAAAATCAAAGGCTAAAATAAATGTCTCTCTTTGTAGAGCAGACATTCAACATAAGCCCCTATAGTGTTGAAGGGTTTTTTTTTGGGGGGGGTAGGGCAGTAGAGAAAGGATGAAGCACAGAAGGTGAAGCATTTGGAAAGATCACAGACAGCTCTAGGATTCTGGTCCCAAATATTCACCCCCAGTCTTCATACTCTGCCTTACCAGAACTGGATTCTTAGAGCAATAGTTTCCCCTTCTTACTGGGCAGCCTCTATGACAGCCCTTTCTGAGGAAAGACAAAACTATGAATTACTCCTCTGGACCAAGAATGAAGCAGGAATAGTAGGACAGCTACCCATCAGCACCATATACCAGACAATCCAGCTCAGTAACTTAACTCCCATTCAACATGAACAACAACATGAAAGACAGAGGATTTCCGGCAGGTGCAGCCTGGGGTGATTGAGAGACCACAAACAGATGATTTAAGTACCCACAACCTTTCCAACTAGCAAAGTTCACAGTTCTCTCTTCTCTTCCACTCCCTGCTGTCCATCTACCACCTAAGGTGGGCTGGGGCCAAAGTTCTCTTATATTACTCCAATAATTAAAATCAGGGAAACAGTAAAGATCTCACCAGTAACAATCCTACCTACAGTTTGGTTTTCTCAGTGCATCAACCTGGGAGGCTCATTCCCATCTGCCTAGCTCCATTCTAGAATCACAGAATCTCAGAATTGGAAGGATCCCATAAAATCTTGGTTTTAGGAATTTCCAAGTATAAGATGGCTGAAGTGATACTTGGTGCTCTTGCTCCAGCTCTAATGAATGTCTACAAAAAGCTAACTGTTCAGACACTGAACACAGCAGCCAGTACTTAAGGGTAAAGTTCATTAGCTTTTTCTGTTGTTTTTATTTGTGTGTGTGTGTGTGTGTGTGTGTGTGTGTGTGTGTGTGTGTGTGTATGTATGTATGTGTGTATTATATAACTAGAAATACAGTTCTAAGGCAGTCATTTTTTGTATCTGTTCTGCTCTGATGGCAATGACACAGCACAGGAAGAGGGAGCCACAGCTCAAAGATTAAGACCAGAACCACAATCCACAGCTGGAGACTTAGCTCTCTGCCTAATGTTTTTTTGAAAAGTCAAACATTCCAATCTTCTCTCCATGACAGAATAGACCAAAAAAAGCATTCGGCATTTTCCAAAGACAGAAGTAATCCTAAGAGCCAGTGAGTGAAAAGGGGGAGGGTAGCTGGCTCTGGGTCACAGAAGGGCATTAGCCATAGTGAGGGCCCAGGCCCTTCAAGCTCCTCCTCTAGTTAGACAGTTCTGTCTGACTAGCAAGATTAGCAGCATTGGGTCTATGTTCAGATCAGCTGGTCAGGGCCTTTTTTCCCTCCAAACTCTGAAATCTCAAGGGATTGAGGATCTCAGGGAAGTATAACAATGACTGTCAGTTGATGAACTTTAGAAGACACAAAGAGCTTTGGCCCCAAAGGCAAGACCATGTCTGATCCTCGATTTAAATAGGGCCACAGTCCTGAGGGAAATGAAACAAAGGGTAGCTCTTCTAGACCAGTCAGCAAAGTCAATTTCACCACTGGGCAGTGGGAAGGGTGGAGGAGGGGTTCCATCTCTGGTCTTAGCTTCATTTGTTTGAATGCCTAATTTTTTGCTTCCCTCAATACTCCCTAAAGTTTCAGTTTTGGAGGACCTGCTTCTTTCTGCCTGGCCCTCACCTTGCAATGTAATTCTAACAATTCACTGATAAAAGAGACTTGAATTTTTAGTTTGGAAAGAGGCAAAACGTGAAGGCACCCAGGCCTTGGCTTAGTGTAACGGAAAGAACACTAAAGTAAGTATGAGTTTAGTGGGCAAATCCTAGAGGCTTTATGCTTCAGTTTCAGCTATAAATGGTGATGATAATGATGATCTTCACTACTTTTCAGGTTATTATGAGGGCCAAACGAGATATGTTGCCCTTAAAAATAACTTGGGCTAAGTGCTACACAAATTCAAGGTATTATTAATTTCGTGAAATGAGGCTCAATTATTTTACTCTTCCCATAGATTGCTACACACCTGAGGGCAAGAGAGGCTAGCAAGAAAATGCCCAGGATGTTAAGTGAGCGATAGACCTTCCAGCTCTGGCCTAAGCTCAGCTCTACCTGAGCAGGCAAAGAAATGTTCAAGGGTTGGGGAACTCTGCTCCAACCCACAGTCTCACTGACCGCCCTGGGTTTGTTCTCCAGAGCAGGGACCACAGGGGGAGGAGTGCAAGGACAACAGAGAGCAGCCGGTGGGGGTTGGGAGGGGTGGGGGGCCCTCAATTCTGGCTTTGTTTAGCTGGTTTAAAGGGGAAGAGGGAAACTACACACCAGAGTGGGATCTGAAACTTCAGTCAATTAGCCTTTCAAATCATTCCTTTCAGTCCAGCCTCAGCTTTGTGCTCCTCAAAGCCAGGTGCAAGGAGCTGTCTTCAAGCAGAGTAAATTGGGGGGGGGGAAGGTTGTGGTACACTGGGATTAAGGGGGAGATGTTCTCTTCAGTCACGGAAGAAGACTGCTCTGGGCCAAGGATCCTGGACACTTCTGACTACTATACAGCACAGGCCAGGTCTGTAATTTCATTATAAGCTAATAGTTTCCAAAAACTGAAGAAGACTGAGGTTGGGAAGGCTTTTTCAGAAAGCCAACTCATTTCTCTTTTTCCACCTCCTATTCATCAACATTCTTAATTTTCCCTCCTAAAGGAAGCCCATGATCCCTCTAGGTACCTCTTTGGATCAGGAATGTTCTGGCATTGGGAGAATCCCCACATTGGCAAGTCAAGCTGTCGCCAAACACCTGCTTTCTCTGATTCTGACATCTGTTTTCAGGATGGGGAGTGTAGCAGATCCAGCCTGGGAGGAGGGAGCAGCACCAGTTGGCCATAAGCACAGGCTTCACAGCAGGAGGGCATGAGGCCTCCCACAGGGCTGGATAGAGATCCTGAAGAACAGTTCACAGAGTGTAAAAGAGGCAGATGCCCAAATGGTGCTAGGACCAAATAAAAGCCTATTTCTGATGCTCCCTCGACCCTCTCAAAATCAAAACAATTCCCTGACCCTCTCTGTGAACTCTACCCTTCAGTTAGCATACTCACAGGAGTCTTATGCTAATGAGAAAGAAAACAGGTTGGACTCAATCCTTAAAATTCCTTCTAGCTCTAAAATACTAGGGATTCAAGCCCATGTTGAGGTGGCAGTTCTGCTGAAGACAAGGTTACAGATACCTAGTCCAACCCACATGCAATCCCCACTTAAAGAAATCTGCTAAACGGGTATCCATGGGGCATACTATATTTAGCTGGATGATCAGTATCTTTGAATAACAGAAAAGCACCAGATGAAAATATCTAACTGGGTCATTTGGTTCCCACTACACACATACACACTTTTTTTTTTAAGGGCACAAATGCTACCTGCCTGGAATGGTCTGAAATAGTTAATTCTCTTCTGAATGTTGGCAATATTGTCACCTACAGTCCCTAGCCTCACACCCCAGCAATGGTGTAGCCAAACACTGGTAGAGGACCAAACCAAAGGAGGATTCTGAAAGTTCTTCACTGTCCGAGAATGTAGTAAGCATGGAAGTCAAAGAGGTATGCTTTTTCCTGGTTCATTCCCTCAAATGTCTTTTCTCTCCATCCTTTCCCCCAACAGGTTCCTCCTGATGGCTAAGTAAAGAAGAGGCTGGGACCTGGCCACGAAATGGCCTCTTTAAGGGGACTCCCCTAGGCTACTGGTAGAGGAAGAAAATCTGGAGCATTTCCATCTTGCCATTGGCTCAATGCCTTGGATCTTGGGGCCAAGGCACAACTTTCTCAGGATCTGTGTCCTGTGCCCTCCTTTCCTCCAAAATGCATTTACTTCCCTGGCTATCTTTGAGGAATCAACTCTAGCAATCTCTGGGGGTAGGTCCTGAAATGTTAAGTGGCAGGATAGGTACCTCTGAATACTAGGTAGGACAAGGAGCCGAGAGGTGGCTGAGGACTGGACAGCGCCATACCAAGGAAATATTGTCAAGCAGGAAGCAGCAGGGTTCAGTGAAAAGGACACTAGCTCTGGAGTCACAGGTGCCCGATTCAAATCCTGTATCTGCTGCTACCTGTGTGACCCTGGTCAAGTCACTCCACCTCCATGTGCCTCAGTTTCCTCATCTGTAAAATGAGGAGGCTGGACTAGATGGTCTCTGGGTTCCTTCTAGCTCTAGAGCTGTGATCATAAGCCTTTCTAAGCCACCTGAGGATGCCAGACCAAAAAGAAACTGGGGACTACAACTGCAGAGCCATTTCCTCCAGCCATGGGAGAAGGAAGTGGAGTTAATTAAGCAAATAACTACCTTTTCTAGGTCTCCTCAAAGTTTCAACATATTTAAATAAGGCTTGGAGAACTTCTGCCCTTCACAGGCCATGAAAGTTCTCTCTCAGTCAAGGTCTTTCATGTGTAATGGCAACCATGAGGAAATCTTGTCCCCACTATCATCCTTTCCCTCTGGGAAGCTGATGCTGTGCTCAAGCTCTCTTTATTTTCCTAGTCTGTGCCATGGACAAGTCAAGGGAATCCTGGGTCCAGAATGCAGTCTACTGACTAACTTAGTCTTGAAATGGACATGGGTGTGGGACTGGAAGTGGAGATGTGGAACGGGATTGCAGTCCTTGCTCTGGCCCCTGGCCTCCTTCCCTGCCCACCAGGCATCATCAAATGGGACTACAATTCTTGTTCTAGAGATGGCAGTTTCAGGATTCCCCAAATGATATCTTTATATTGCCAACTCTTTAGCAGCTCTGCCAAAAAACAAGACAAAAACAAAAGCCACGAACTCAAAAAAACTGTACTCAAAGTCTGACAGGTACTTGTAAAAAGGTCTATCCACTAAACAGAGACGGCAGCAGATGAGAAATAAAACTTCCCTGGTATTTACTAAGCACTGTGCTCTCTTCAGTTCCATTTTCCCTGGGGAACTGGGGTGGAAGGGAAAAGAAGAGCCATTCCATTGGCCAGTAGACATCTTCTGAGGGAGCTGAAAACAGATGTAAACATCCAGCCCTCTCTGTGACGGGACAGGCGATGCTGAGAACTTATGAGGTGGGCACTGGTGGTAGGGAACTTTATTATACAACTAGATGCCCATTTCCTTTGATGCTAGTGGACCCTAGAGGACAGGGCCTTTCCATGCTTCTGACAAGAGTACCACTAAGGAGGAAGAAAGACTCTCCTCCCCCAAAGGGATTCCTAATAGAGCAGAGGAGAGATCTGTTCATCTGAGCGGAAAAATTCTGGTAATTTTTGAAATATGATGAGACACTTTCTGTCAAGATTTCAGCATCAGACTCTCAAGAAGTAGCTGTCCAAACAACTCAGAGGGAAGAGCAGCTGTAGAATGCTTAAAATAAATGCTGATGGTGTGGTCCAGATACAGGCTGGGAGCACAGGCTTCCTGCTGGGCCTTTTCTAGACTCACTTTCTCATCTAGGTGGCCCTGGGGCTTTTCTAAGATACCCAGATAATCGTATCAGGGAAGAAAATTCAGAAACTCAAGTGGAAGGTAGCGTAATTCAGTGGAAAGAGTACTGGAATTAGAGTCAGATGACCTAAGTTTAAACCTGTTTCTGCCACTTTACAGTGTGACTGTGTCAGGGTCTTTGGGCCTCAATTACCTCATCTGTAAAATGGTACTAAACTAGCTGACCAGTAAGGTCCTCTTCTGCTTTATATCCATGCTCCTGGAAAAGAATTCCACTTTCCTTCAGTATTCTTGGTAGAATGTAAGCTCTATGATAGTTGGCAAGGACTTTTTTTTAAATCTTTGTCTGATTATCTCTAGCGCTTACACACAGAAGACATTGAAAACTACTTGTTGAATTCAATAAAATTCAAATTTAACAGACAAGGATGGAAAGACTGTCTGGACATTCTTAAGTATTTAGAAAGAAAACCAAGTATACACGGTGACATCTACTCCCAAATCCAACTGAACAGCAGTGGCACCCAGACCTTCGTCAGACACTTTACTTACTGATACTGAAGCCCTGCACCGGTACCAATGTGCTAGCTCCCAGAAGTCAGTGGAGTAGATGGGAGAGAAAGCTCTTCCTTTGTGGTACGGCTAGAGGCCACTCTACCTTCAGAAGATACAGACCTAAGAGGGGGTGAGGGAGATGAAGAAAGAAGTTTGCCTGGCAGGCCTGAGATAAAAAACACTCCTCCTCACTGGCCATTTCAGGTCTTACCTACGATTTCTGCTTCTGAGGTCTTGGCTGGAATCGAAAAATCTAGTCACATCAAAGGGAAATGGGAGTGTGACTCCTTGCTTATCTCCAAACTTGTTTTGGTGGGGTGTTAAACAGCTTGGGGGGGTATGTGGAGGAAAAAAAGAGTACAATTTTTTAAATGATAGGAAAATTACTTCTACCAGTTCATATATTCTAATTACCATATTTCCTTTTGGGAAGAACTTTTGGGCCTGGGGGTTTTAGACTATGGGTGTACCATAGTGGATTGTTATGTCTAGGACATTCTTTGAACTCAAACTACCCAACAAGATCAAAGAGTAGAGCCCTTGGTAGTGTTCTTCTAAGTTCCAGAGGCCTAGGAAAAAAAAAGGGGGGCTGGGCTGTAATTTCTTGTGAAGGAGGAGTAAATGGTGGCCAGTCACCCTGGCAGCTTTTAAAAATTAAAGCTTGGCATAGAGAAAGGGCTGGTTTGGGCCAGGATGGAGGTAGACAAGCTGAGCTGAGATCCAAGGGTAGTCATGAGTCATGGTAGGTTGGGCTCAGCTTTTGGAATTTTAGCTAAAGAAGTCAGGCAGGCCCAACCTGGGTTGGATAGAAACCTTTTACTTACACTTACACACACACACACACACAACACACACACACACACACACACACACACACACACACCCTCCACAAACAGCAATTATCTTTTAACTGTTTTACCCAACTCATGACCTTAGTATCATTAATTTTTTCTGAATTAATATTATTCTTTCTCATTATAAACAAATAGCCTGTGTTAAAATTTAAGGTTCTTGACATGGCTGTGGTTAAGGCCAAAAAAGATAGACCAATGGGAGCTACAGGCATCTACCTCCTGGCAGCAAGATTAGCTATAGGGATTTCTGCCCCCCTCTAAAGAGAAGGCTGTCTTAGGTGGCTGATCTGGTGGCTAGCAAGGAGTCTGTGTTCTCTGTCACAGGGAAGGCTTCCTTCGATTCCACAGAGAGAAACAAAGTAAGTCTTCCTTCTCCCCACTAACATTCTTTATCTTATCTAAGGGGAGCAAGGGCTCAACCAAATTAAAGAAAAATAGCCAATTTTTAAGCATGTCTTTGGATAGTTCTTAGAATTGTCAAACTCTTCCCTCTTTCTGCTCTGGTCCCTTCATCTAATATAGCTTCATTTAGACTGGCTGAGACTCCAGAGTCATGTGAATGTAAGATTTTCGAGTTAAGAAGGCCGTTAGAGACCATGTAATGTAACGCTTCCTTCAAGTCTGAGAGGTGGAGTGACCTAGCTGAGGTCACACAGGAAGTAAGCGACAAAGTCACCCTGCCATAGGCCTTCTAAGTTTAAGCCCTATGCTCTTTCTACTCTACCATCCCAGGCCACGGGATGTTCCTTCAGAAGGTAGCTCAGGGAGGCAGTGAAATGCAAAAGATCTGGGTTTGTTGCGGTGGGGAAGTCATTCTTTTAATCTCCATTTCCTCATGTGTAAAATGGGGATAATGACCCTTCTACCACCTATCATCTAGGGTTGTTACGACGACAAGACCTTTCAGCTAAACCTTCTAGCTCTATATAAACGTGAGCCATCATTAGTATTACTACCCTTATGCTCAGCTTTCCAATATCCCAGGCTTGCCCCGTACCCTGAGACTCTGTGTGTGTGTGTGTGTGTGTGTGTGTGTACTGTTCCACTTATAATCAATGATCCTCCTCCCCTCAAAAAACATGTTTTTAGATTTGTGATTCCCCATAAATGTTCCTAGGCTTGAAGTCAGCCTGGCATCCACATGTACTGGGATCACCTTTATTACTCTGGGATGCTTAGGGTGATGAGGAGCAAAGGTGACCGAATACCAAATCAGATCCTATGTCAAGAGCTGAAGCAGGGTGCAGGACAAATGCACAGAAGAGACACCATGCTCCAAGCATTATTAGGAGCTAAAGGAACTTACCAGGTAAACTCCTCTACTTGGAGCCCAGCACAATTTCTGCTTTTTCCTTTATGAGGGAAGAAGCAGGGATTCCTGGGTATCCCTGCCCTCCTTGAATACCTCAGAACAAATTTACTGCTCCCTCTTCTGTGGTTGGAACTGGCTGGCCAAGATATATAAGCTTTCCTTTTCACTACCACAGAATGAACAATGAAAAACCTGATTTGTAGGATCTTATGGGTCTAGACCTAAAATGAACCTTCCAGATTACCTAGTCTAAACCCTTCAGTTCAGACCGTCGATTTAATCGTTTTGGTTTTTTTTTTAATAGCAAATGGTAATAACCAGGAAACTATACTTTAGGAACCTCTATTTCTTATTTAAATCCCTGTTTCCTTTTCACTTCCAATGCTAAAATTATTGTTTAAAAGGAGTCCAAATCTTACAGGGAAAAAATTCATAGAATCCTAAAACAAGCTGAAGTTGTTTTTTAAAGTACGGTAAATTGTTACTACAAGTATTTAGCACATTCACTTTTGAGACTCTGAGCAATTGCCAGAAAAACAGCATTCCAACTCAAATATCTGGGCTGTCTTCCCCAAGCTTGCCCTACCCTTATTCTTTACCTCCTACCTGTACGAACCTTTGGTTTCTTCACGACTCAGCTCAGGTACTATTTTCATGAAGTCCCACCATTTGTGAGTGTTCCTGCTCTCCTCAAATTACTTTGTATTTACTTATCTTTGTACACACTGTATCCGCCTCCCCCCCAATATGGTCCTTGACAGAAAGGAGGTTGGTTTTTTTTTCTTTGTATCTTCAGTGCTAGGTGGTTAATAAATGTTTGTTAAATTACATTTTTAGATATGTCTCCATAATAAAGTAATGTCTCCCACTACTAGCATCCTGCTGCCCCCACCCCCAACCCCCCTGCTTACTACGGGTAAAATCCTACTGCAAGGCCTATTATTGCAAAGGAGATTTCTGTGTTAATAAGGCTACTTCCGAGCCTCACAGGTGGGGGCAGGGGGCCCTACGGCAGCACATACCTCTCGGTCAGGAATCCTCCTTTATCACAGACTCTTTTTGATTTCTTCTCTGAGAAAGGGACTTGATGACATATATAATCTAGCACTATTTGCATTATAGCTGAAGTATTGACAGTTCTCTGTCCTAACCCTTTAACTTCCCCCCAGCCCTTTTCATTTCAAAACAGTCTAGTCATCTAAACACTCGAGTCAGAAGAAAGAAAAAAACTGTATATAAGAGGGCTTTCAAGGGAAAGAATTGGGGGGGAGGTTGTGTTTCCCTTCCTCCTTCCCTAACAAAGTTTTAGACTCCTGCTTTCCTCTTGTTAATTTATTGGTGAGAGGTTGGGGCAGCAGCTTTGCCTTACCTTTAGGTCCTGCAGACTGGGATTTCTAACAAAATACTAATTCTGACAAAAAGAAGAAATCATTAAGTTCTACAGAGTTTGACAGCAAAGTATTTTACCTATAGTACGTGGACTTTCTGTTCCCATAGATTTCCTGGAGAGAGCTGGGGAGTGAGAGGACAGGAAATGCTGCCGAGGACAGTATCCAGAGACCTTGGGAGTGGCTTTCTTTGGACACTACAAACCAGTAATCAATTTAATAACGCACTGAACATGGAAGGCAGCAGCAATCCCATCCGAGTTCAGTCCCCCGAAGTGCTGAGTTTATAGTGACTCCTGAAGGTAGGCTCTCAAACAGTGAGCAAAACCAAGCACCAGCCCCCTAGGGATCTGGCTGCTTGAGAAAGCTCCAAGAGAGACAGAAGAAGGAACCTGTCTGGATGGGGCCATAAGGAAAGGGTGAGGCAAGGGTGAGAAAGGGAAGGGAGCTGACCCATGAGAAGCAGGGCCCTGAATTCTAGAAACTGCTGACAGTGGTAAAGAACACTTTCCAGTACGACAACCAAACACGTCAAGCGCTCAGATCCAAATCCAGATCCTTTTCTTGATTCTAAGATGGGGTTTTTTTTTGGGTTATTGTTGTTGTTTTTAAATAGCACATGCAATGGAAATGTCTTTTAGTTTAGTTTTGCTTTCTCCTGAGAGAAGCTGGATTTTCTTCCTTACATAGAAGAGGAAAACAAACTAGAAAAAGGTGGCACTTATTTTAAGCTGCTCATATTTTAGGTTTCCAGATTCAGAAGAATCCATCCTTACTATCAATGCCAGTTTCCTGATGTGACAACAGGAAACATAGGTTTATTCTCTCCCAAGGCGAATGACCACAGATGACAAACAAGAAGGTCCCACTGGAGACACCAGCACTGTGTGTTCACCAGGGTTATACTGGGTGTGTCTGCTTTAGGGACAACTTCTCTCCTCTGCTCTCCAAACACACATCTAGGCAATCACTCCCCCTATAACAAGCTAATCTCAATACAGTCTCTTTTCACTAAAATTACATTTTGGCATTTAAACATTTCAGTGGAAGACATTTCAGTGTCCAAAAGGCCCTAGTATGCACAGTCCTGAAAAGGCATTCCTCTCATGTCTTGAGAATATAACACATTTTCCTCTACTACTTTCAGGAATTTTGCTCTGTTTTTTTCTGTAATTACTTTTGAATCATCAACAAACTCCATCAATGCTCATGGAATAAAATCCTAAACAAAAGAAATAAATACATAAAATACAGATAGCTTTAGGCTTCTGTATTTTAAATTTTTAAAAATAATTTTTATACATATTTTAAAATTTTTTCTATATTTTAAAATACAGATGCCTTTGGACTTCTACTTTGAACAAACCTTGGCTAAGAACAATTTGTTAACTTAGAGTAAACTGCCCCAGGCTTCCTTTTTCCTTCTCCAAATGTGATTTATCCCAACCTCTGTTGGTGAAAGACAAGGGATCTGAAACATCAACAAGCATTTATTAAAGACATACTAGTGGCAGTGCCTGGTGCTGTCCTAAAGTTGACTTGGAATTTATTATGTTAGGGTCAGATGTACCAGAGTTAAAAGAACTAAGAAGGCACTTTGGAATGTAATGGTCCAGAAGGATGGGGAGAACGTGTGACTAACCTGCTGGTTTGAACCCCACCGCCCTATCTCGAGGCATGCTCAGCATGCTACTCAAGAAAAACTAACCCATGTGAACAACTAACTGCCATCTAGGAGCTGAATTCCTTGATTTCCAGTCTTCTTCAATATTCACCATAACAAAAATATCACCTGTATTACCCGTGTGACCTCAGGCCTCAGTTTCCTCCTCTGCAAAATGAGGTGGTGGGACTAAATGGCTTGTACCATTTTTTTAAATTATTATTTTTTAGCTCATATCCTGATTCTGTAATTAGCAAAACTTCACCAAGTCTACTTTTGAATGCTGGCTACTGACCTCCCCCCAAAATCAAAACACCCAAACTACAGTAGTAACCAAAATAAACCTTAAGGAGGCAAAAAGTGTTCCCAGTGTAAGAGATAATCTAGTACTTCTCATTTTCCGTGTGTGTGTGTGTGTGTGTGTGTGTGTTGTGTGTGTGTGTGTGTGTGTGTGTGTGTGTGTGTGTGTGGGGAAGGCAGGGGTGGGAGCATCATATACACCCAAGTGATACCTTCTCTACCTTTTAATCATGTCAGATGAGAGAGGCCAGGCTTCTGGGGGCCTCTCCCCTAAGGATGATCAGGAAGGATTCCCACCTCTCTGGACCTCAGCAAGCCATCACAAGTTGCTAGAGAGGTCTTGACTCCTCTCCAGCTTCACCTTAAGTGAACGCAGGATCACAATCAGACAACAGTTCAAGAATAAAGTACAACAAATCCAAGTAGTCAAAGACTTTAAATTCTCATATCGAGGAGACAGATTTTGTTTGCAAATACAACAAACAGTTCTTAAACACAAACTGAACACCCCAGTGTAACCACGGCATGTAGTTCTCTAGATGGCTTTTGCCCACTGGGAAGACATATTTACTTAAGGAAGTGGTCAGCTTAGACAGAGAAGAGAGAGATGCATGAAGGGGGCACAAACTTAGCCCCAGTTCATTCAAAGAATGGAATCCAGGAATGGCTAAAACCCATCAAACCAGTTCTATCTGCCCTGAGTAAAGGACTCTGGGGCAGTTATGCTGGGAGAATGGGTATTTCGGACAGCGGGAGTTATTAATAGGAGTGATGTGAAGGGACATTAATTACCCACAGCTCAGGCATGGTACAAGGAGGCAGAATCTCTACACTCCCAGAATCAAAATATCCTCTCTAATGTCTTACTTTAGATCTCTATAGGAATGGATGGGACATTCTCCCCCTCATCAGAGTAAGGATGTCTAAACTTAATCTTTATTTCAAAGGCCCTTCCCTCAACAATACCTACTCCTTCCCCACCAAATATTAAGCAGCTCCCTCTTCTTGGCTCAGACAGACCCAGTGGCTTCGAATTTAAAGGTTGACCCACGGAAAAGAACTCTCCTTCCTCCTCCCAGTGGAATTTCTTCCTAATCTTTACACCTCCTTCCTCCACAAGTCAGTTTCCACCCATTTTCCTCTTGTTCCTTTCCCAAAGGAATGGATGTTTGGAAACTGAAAGACCTAAAATGCCTGACCTCCTTGCCTTCCTGCTAGCTCTAAAAATCCATGATCTTTCTACCTTACTTGGCCGGTTTTGCCCCCAGCTCCCACAAACCCGCGGCTCCATCGACATCTTTTGGAGCAAGACCCAAGCCGTAGGAGCCCCTGCCTCCTTCCTTGCTCCCTTTGACAGTACCACGGTCCAGGGAGAATCCAGGCGCTTGACCCGGGAAAACTCCCACTTTCTCACTGCGCGATTCGGAACCACTCCGGGGTCTGATGCCGTCAGGCGAATTATGTAACCGGGGACACGAGCTCCCGAGCTAAACAAACGGGGCTCTGTGCAGCGCTGTTTCCCGGGGGAGCCCGGTCGGGGAGGGAAGGGAAGGAGGGGCCTCCTCTCCTGCCTGCCCGGTGCCGCTCGGCCAGACTCCTTGGCTCAAGCAAACGGGCGGGACAAGGACCCGGCTAAACCCGAGTGAGCGGGACGCGGGTGGGGGCGGAGATGGGTGGGGCTGGGGAGCCAGGGTCCTGGGTGGAAATGCTCAGTTGGTCTAGACCGCCCCTCCTCCTCTTCGTTCCCCCTCCCCCCATCTCCATCCTCGGGCTCCCGGGTTGTGAACTTGGGTCCCAAGTTCTAACCGGGCACGGTCACGGCCACCGCTGGGGCTGCGGGAAGGACCTCGGGGTTCCCCAAATGCGGAGACGGGGGAGAGCCGCGCGAGGGAAACCTCGATTCCTGCTTCATTTTAGCTCCCACCCCATTCCAGAACGCCCCCTCCCCACTTCGAGAGCGGGCCAGGATGGGCGCGGGGCCTCCCAGCGTGGGTGCCCACCCGAGGCACCCCTTCCTCCCCCACCCTCCCCTTGGGCGGGGGCGGAAGGCCGGGGCCTGGGTGACAGCTGCCGCGCAGACCCGCCCCTCCCCCCCGGGGGTGGCGGCTGCCCCGGGCCCCTCCGAGGGGGAGGGTCGCCACGGCCATTCCATCCCCCGCTCCCTCTCGGGGACGCCCCGCCCCTTCTCCCCGGAGCAGCGCAGCTCGGGGACGCGGCGGGGGCGGCCGCGGGCCTGAGGGGGCCCTGCCCCGGCTCGGGCGCCGCCGGCTGGAGGGGGCGGCGGCGGCAAAGTTTTGCGAAGTTGCCAGCCTTACCTTGCTTGGTGAGCACCAGGGCGTCTTCCCTCCGCGCCTGGGTGATGATGGAGCCGTGTTCCATCTAACAACCCCGCGGGCCCGGGATGGGTGAATGGGTGGGCGGGCGGGTGGGGACTGGGGGCCTGGGCGGGGGCCGGCTCTGGGGCGGCTGCGGCGGCGGCGGCGGCGGCGGAGGCGGCTCCTTGGGCTGTTCACATCCCCCTCCGTCCCCCTCCCCAAGGCAGAGAAGGGAGGAGGCCTGCAAGGAGGGCCGGCGGCCGGGCAGCGGCTCCCCCCACCCCCCCCAGGTCCCCCCAGCCTGGATCCCCCGGCAGCAGCTCCGGGCTCCTCAGTTGGGGTCCAACATGGAGAATCCGGAGCGAAAACAAGAGGAGGAAATGGGACACGGGGCAGTTTCCAGGCCCCCCCCTCCCTCCGTACTCCAGATAAACAACCCGCGGCTGCTGTACCCACCCCCTCCTCCTCCTCTTCCTCCTCCTCCTCCTCCTCCTCCTCCCCCCAACTCTCCTCTTCGGGCTTTTCCCGCTCGGGGACCCGGCCTGCGCCAGCCGTACGCGGACAGCGCACTTAGTCCCTGGATCCCTCACGTGCGATCGGGCTGGGCTGGCGAAGCTTCCGGGGCTTTAGCAATTTTGTTATCCAAAAAAGAAAAAAAAAAGCGAATCCCGGAGGGGGGTGGGGTGGGAGGCGGGCTGGCTGGCGGGGGAGACTTGAAACTGCTCCGGCGCTCCGATTGGCCAGGCTGGAGAAAGAGGGCGTGGCCCTGCTTTACTATGCGGTGCGAGGACCCAACAACATTCCAGCCGTCTCGAGCCACGCCTCTCCGGGTTCCAGGCTCTACCTCCTCCCCCCTAGCCACGCCCCCTGCCTATTTAAACGGAGAGTGTTATGGATCTCCGGTTTTTAAAAATTTTTTTCAGCGCTCCGGAGCTGAAGAGGAGCTGTCAGTCTGGGTCACCTCGCCTTGGTGACTCCGCCTCTCGGGGTCCCCGAGGCTGAGCAACTTGGGGCGGTGTCCTGGAGGGTGGAGACTGGACTGGAGGGATCCAAAGCATGGATGCTAGCTAGGACAAGCGCGCAGCGAGCCTCTCCACACCTTGTGCTGTTCTTCTGATGGCACTTACAGGGACCCTGAAAGTCACCGATCCCTTGTGCTCGGTCTCCCTGTCCCCCACGCCAGGCAGTTCCGAGGGAAGAATCTTGGAGCATGGGAATTTCCCCAGTCTCCCTTCTTCCTACCTTTTATTAACACCCCCCCCCCAAACGCCCCACAGTTGTGAATATCTTCTCGAATATAAGCTCGGATCTTCCCTCCCCTTCCTTCCTCTTGCTCAAGACTGGGCCGGTTTCTAATTATGGAATCATAGGATTTAAAACTGCTAGGGCCTAAATCTTGTGATAATAGACACTCCTCTGATTTTTTCGGATGAGGAAAACTGATCCTGTTGGCCCAAGGGTCTTCAATTTGGATCATCTAGATATCCTCTCTCTTCCTAATTTTCAACCTTTTTTATCTGCTGACGACAAACATGCCCAGCTCTCTCCCAGCTTAAAAAAACAAACAAACCAACCCAAAACAAAACAGCCCTTTCCCTGGACCCTACCATTCTTCAGCTATCACCATGTCTCTCTTCCCTTTCACAGTCAAACTCTTAGGGAAAAAAAGCTATCTCTACTAGATTCCACTTTCTCACCTCCCACTCACTTTTCAACCCCTTGTGGCTTAACTCTCTGCCAGTCATTGAAACATCGTGGTTACCAGTAATTTTTTTAGGAAGGTAGTAAGAGAATGATAACAGGGCAGCATATAGAAACCCCCAGAAGAAGAGTGTGCAGAAGGGTGCTAGTAGTATTAATAGTGTCAAATACTGCAGATAGGCCTTTTCTGGTCCTCATCCTTTCTTGACCTTTCTTGTCCCCCTTCTTCTGGATACTTTCCTTGGGGCGGGGTGGGGGTGGTGGTTAGAAGATGCTCTCTTACTGCCTGACTTTTTTTTAATTGTAACTTTTAATTACCATCATATAACAGACCATTTTATTCTTGCATCTTTTCGATGGTTTCTTCTTTATATTTGCCCTTATTTCCGACTTGTCAGGATTTGGCTTTATGCTCAAGAATTGTTTTGCGATCTTTATCCAGTTTTAGTCTGGTGATAACTACCTTACTAGGGTGAATGCCCACATGGACAGTTGTGCCTTTAGCTTTTTCATTCTGCACACACTCAATGTAGATGATGTATTTCTTTCTGTAAACCTGAACTACCATGCCAATTTGCTGACCTTTGTAGTGTGTCCGAACCACCTGGACCTCGTCGTCCTTCCAGATGGGCATTGAGCAGATGTTGTACTTCTGCCTCAGCTCCTTGGAGAGCGGGCACAACGTGATCTTGCGCTGGATGTGTGAGGGCACACTGAAGTGTCTCTTGCGGTTTTTGCTTCGGTCCGAGGTCACGAATGGATTGAACTTCATTTTGGTGAGCAAGACCACCTGAAAAAAGACATCGTGTGCCACCTGGTACTGGAAATCTAGCCTCCCTGTATGACTTCTTAAGTCTCCTTTTCAAATTTCTCATTCATATCCCATCCCATATGCATCAACATACAGAGTTCTAGATTCTAGAACCTCTCCAGATTCATGTATTACTTTTATGCAGATGACTCCCAAATTTACATGCCCAGCCCTTACTTCTCTCCTGAGATTCAGTTCCATATCTTCATCTAGATGTCTGTCTCAGGCATATCAGCACAGAACTCATGATCCCTTAAATTCACCCTGCTGTTAAATTTCCCTGGTTTATTGTTGAGGGGATGCTATGCCAACATTCATCCAGGAGTCATCCTTAATTTTTCAATCTCACACCCCAAAACCAATCTGGTGTCAAGTCTTGACTTGATTCTACCTAGATCATTTTCCCAGTCCGTCCTTCTCTCTACTTAAATGACAGCTACCCTAATCTAGTCCCTCAACACCTTTTTGTATTGTCTACTGCAGTAGTCTCTTCCTTGGTCTCTCCATATCCAGTCTCTCCTTTCTATAAACTATCCTGGATAGTGTTACCAAACTGATATTCCCTAATAAGAGTACATCTGAATCGATATTCCTAAATAATGCACATTAAGTCATAGTTCTTTGCCTGACACATAGTAAGTGCTTAATAAATGTTCTAGCTACCTTCTCTGTTTGGCATAAAGTCCTTCCCCATCTGGCCTCAGCCTACCCAGGCTGATCTGTACCTAACTCGTCCAGCCAAAAATGTCTGTTTGCTGTTCCATATCCATGACATGACATTCAATCTCCTATTTCTGTGCCTTTGCTGCCCCTCATGCCTGGAATGCTTTCCTTCTTCACCTCTGCCTCTTGGAATTCCTTCAAGGAAGGCTCAGCCACCTCCTTCAAGAGACCTTTCCTGATATCCCCAGTCTTTAATGGCCTCCAACCAATCACTGTGTGATTTTTTGGTATGTATTCTGTATTTGTTTACCCATGAACATTTATTGTATCCCTCTAGTAGAGTGGAAACTCCTCAAAGGCAGAGACTATCTCACTCACTTTTAAATTTTGATCCCCTGTGCCTAGCATAGTGCTTGGCTATGATTTCACTGTCTACCTTCACATTGCCTACCTGTGAAACTTCTTTTACCTTCCAGTTAGAAGATAAGGGCTGGGCATCCTTAGGACTTGTTTTTCCTCCTGAACAGATCATGGACTGTAACCTTATGTGACTTTAGCCCTACATATAACTGTTATTAAATTTAGCATAAGCCACTCTGCCATTCTTTCAAACTCTATCCATATTGGGGAGGGGGAGGAAATGACATAGAGACATATAATTATTAACACTAATTATATTTTAATAACCCTTTAGAGTTTCCAGAACACATTTGCATACATTATCTCAATTATGTGATGTGCCTGAGGATTCATGAACACGTGAGTGCCCATCTATATAGTAATGCCATTTCAATATACTAATGTAACTAATGAGAGAGGCCAGCTCTCACTCTCACTAACTTCACCCCCTCCCCCCTCCACACACAGGGCAGGGCATTCATTTCTATCAATGAGGACAGGGTTCCAAATCAATGGGCTTTGGGAGTGGTGCTACCTTAAGAATGATAACCCATACATTTTAGGGTCCAGGAAAAAAAAAGTCCTCAGTAGTATGAATATTATTTTCTCCATTTCACCAGTGAAACTGTATTGAGTGTGGAATGTGAGGATGGGGTGATGTGACTTTTTTTTAAACCTGTAGTCCTACAAGTTGTGAAATAAGCATAGGAGGCTGATTCAAGTTTGCTTGGGTCCCTGACTCTAAGTTTATTCTTTCAGTCAAACAATAAGCATTTTTTTGGTTAAATTTTTGTTAATTTTTATTTCTAGTTCCAAGTTCTCTCCATCTCTCCTTTTATTGGGAAGACAAGAAATACAGTACTCATTATAGGTATGAAGGCATGCAAAATATATTTCTACATTAGCCACGTTGTTTGTTTGTTTGTGTGTGTGTGTGTGTGTGTGTGTGTGTGTGTGTGTGTGTGTGTATGTTGGGGAAGGCAATAAAAATAAAATAAAAAAATGTATCTCAGTCTGTACTCAGAAATTAATTTCTCTGTGGAAGCAGATAGCATTTTTCATCATGGGTCCTTTGGAATTGTCTTGGGTCATTGTATTGATCAGTACGCTGAATCTTTCACAGTTGATCATCATTACAATATTGCTGTTACTGTGTACAATGTTCTCCTGGTTCTGTTCACCTCACTTTGCATCAGCTCCTATAAGTCTTCCCAGGTTTTTCTGAAACCATCTTGCTTGTAATTTTTTATAGTGTAATGGTATTCCATTACAATCATATACTACCACTTGTTCAACCATTCCCTAATTCATGAATATCCCTTCAATTTCCAATTCCTTGCCACCACAAAAAGGGCATATTGGTCCTTTCCCCTTTTCTTTGATCTCTTTGGGATATAGACCTAGTAGTGGTATTGCTGGGTCCAAGGGAATGCACAGTCTTGTAGTCCTTTGGGCATTAGTTCCACATTGTTCTCCAGAATGGCTCATAGCTCACAACTCCACCAACAGTACATTTGTGTCCCTATTTTTCCACATGCCCTCCAGGATTTGTCTTTTTTCCTTTTCTGTCAGATTAGCCAATATGATGGGTGTGAGATGTTACCTCAGATCAACAGGCATTTTATTAAGATGTGCTTGACATTCTATGGACTCTAAGCTTACAAAGACAAAAATGAAAAACTCTTTACTCTTAAAGAATATACTAAATTAATCTACCTTTCAGATCAATAGTTTTATATAATCAAAGTGAGTAGAGAGACATTTTTCTCAAGGCAGTATGGAAGAGGGGCTAGAGATCTGGCCTTCAAGATGAAAAGCCCAGGTTTCAAGTTTTACCTGGTTGTGTGTCCTTGGGCAAGTCACATTTTAACCTCTCAGTGGTTATAGACAGTTCTCTAAGCCTATAGTCCTAGAAGAAAAGGTTCTGAAAGTCTCGAAAAGGTGGAATTTCCTCATCTAGAATTCTCTGTATTAATGAAAGTGACCAAAGTTATAAATTTGAACATTTGAGGGACAATTCATTTCCATTTGACAAACCTTAAGAATTCATTGTTTTCAGAGCTTCTGAGGGACTAGAAAGTATAGACAAGAGAACACCTGACGAGACTGCTTTCTTGGGGTTTACAATCTAGTTAGCTAAAACACAAACACTGATAACTATAGTAGGGAGTTAAGGGATGAGTGTATCAGAATGCTGCTGAGGTCAGAGTGAGGAAAAAATGCTTATGAACAAGGGGATGTTTTATATTACTTCTAAAACAGGGTTTTTTTTTGCATGTTCTAGATTCATTAATCAGATGCCTCCTAGCATAGTGGATAGAGAGATGGTCTAGGAGTCAAGAAGACTTGGGGATAGAGTCCCAGAACCATACACACAAATACACACACATATACATATCTATCTTTTTGTCTATCTGTCTGTCTGTCTGTCTCCAGGTTTGTGATCCTGGGCAAGTAAATAAAACTGCTCATTGCTTCCTGGCAACTGAGACTATGTAACTTGCAGGGAAAGTGCAGACCATCTACGATAGAGAAGGGACCACCCTATACCATTGAAACAGAAGGTCTGATTTTGAAATTGTTAATTAAGGGGAAAGAGAGGAACAACATCTTGTATCTGTCATTATTCTTCAAATGGGGGTTGAGGTTTGGTTTTTTTTTTCTCCTTGGTAAAATGTTTAAATTTTAAAATGACCAATTTCCATTTTGCTGGAAAAATCCTTTTGTCCCTCTGCCCCATTCTAATAACAGGGCTTCCTCCTGCCACTTTTTTTTGGTGAGGCAATTGGGGTTAAGTGACTTGCCCAGCATCACACAACTAGTAAGTATCAAGTGTCTGAGGCCAGATTTGAACTCAGGTCCTCCTAACTCCAGGGCTGGTTCTCTATCCACTTCACCACCTAGCCGCCCCTCCTGCCATTTTTCTTAACATGGTTCTTAGCCAACAATGTGGCTCAGAGCCATCTTTGTATATAGAGTCTTATAGTGGCTATATTACTTTCTATAAGAGACACAGAGGAGTATATATAGCCCCTGACTCCCAGAAGGTTCCAGTCTGGTGTGAGAATCATGAAGACTCCTGGAATGGACAGAAATACTTCCAAGATGGAATGCAAAGGAGTGTGAATGAATACCTAGGATACAAACTGTAAGGAGTAATGAGCATGTGGTAACAACTCCCTAGAGGCCTCGATGCTCCCTTGAGGAAATCACTATTGCTGGTCTGTCTGATCGTCTTTAGATTGCTAAAACTGAGTAAGGGAACTCTTGTCTCAAGCTCAAATCTTCACTAACTTAAGTCTCTGGCCAGGGCACGTGGTCCATTCAGTTCACAGTTACTACTGATATTGAAGAGAATGGCCCCAGAGAAATGAATAGGGTAGGCATAATCATTATCCTTATTTGACAGAAGAAGAAATCAAGGTACATAGCTAGCATTTATAAAGCTCTTGATATGTGCTATCTCATGTTGATCCTCACAAACTGCCTCCCCCCCCCCCCCCCCGCTATTTTACAAATGAGGAAACTAAATAAAGCACATAGGGAGATTAAGTTTCATGTCCCACATTATATATAGGTAGTTAACTATCTGGGGTAGGATTATTTATTTATTTATTTTGTGAGGTAATTGGGGGTTAAGTGACTTGCCCAGGGTCACACAGCTGGTAAGTTTTATGTATCTGAGTTTGGATTTGAACTCGGGTCCTCCTGACTCCAAGGTCAGTGCTCTATCCACTGCGACACCTAGCTGCCCCCTGGAGCGGGATTTGAATGCAGGTCTTTCTAACTCCAAATCCAAAATTGTCTCTGCTAGGCTGCCTGGCTGTCTCAAGTCACCAAAGGGCAATGGAGGTGGGCAGTAAATAAGGCTGTTGAAAATGTGACATTACATTTTCTCC